AGAACAATTTCGTCCCTTCAGCCAGACAACAACATAGAACTCAAAGTTGTATAACGATGAACAGAGACTATCATAACATTTATATATGTGACTTGTTCCATCAACCCCCTAAACAGTCAAACTGGGGGCAATCTCCCTATAATCTTCAGAGGAACAGACAAGAAAGACATGGCTCGTTGCAAGTAATCACGTCATCCCCGATATTGCTCAAGGTTTAGGTTTAGGAGCAGTCGGTCGGCGGCTAAGTAAAGGAATATACGGGTCATGGAGCTCAAACACAGGGTTTGGAAAGTAGGGTTTCGGAGTTTAATCACCGGCTAAAACATCTGCAATCAACAAGTACCAGGGCACGTAGTAATAATTGACTTTGCAAATGAATCCAAAAGTTTACCACATTTGTTTTACAATAAAAAGATTTCGGGTTGGATTATCCTAGCTTACTCCTCCCAGAGCTCTCAAGCCAATTTTAGATGCAAATACTCCATACTAAGGTAGGCAGGGAGTACTGCCACACTAGGACTCCAGCACCCACAGTCCCATGGGGAACTACTTCAAGTCCATTCTCGTGATTACGTCCATGAATTGTTCCTTATATAAAATTGGCTTGCTGGTCTACATTCACGTTAATTATGTCAAGTTCTGGAAAGGGGTAAACTTGCGTTCGAAAAAGACACCAAGTTAAAAGAACGTCAGGAAAATAGTTTAAAATTCAGCCTTTCCAAATGCCACGCTATGGACTTTAAACCTCACATTACACAAACGACCTGCATGTTTCCTAACTATCCTCTTCCAGATTTATCCGCTTGACAAACACGTATTCACCCATGTATTATCGTCCCACATTTGATCAGCCGTCTGATGTGTTTCGTAAATTACCACGGTTATCACTGCTGCACATCAGCAACTACTTCTTATGCTTCCCATCTCTGTTTACCCTCTGAATCTTTTAGTTTCGTCTTTTCAAATATTACAAGATACGCAAGTCCATTAATATATATCCAATTGACTAAGATTAATGAAGTCGAGTGGTTAGACTATCACTAATTGTACATTAACAAATACATGGATACATACCGAATCAAAGAAAGTGAGCGCAAAGAAATCAGCCAGTCGAGTGACTGGACTGCGAACCATTTAATTTTCCGAAAGATCTGGAAGCGTAACGAAACGGAAAAGATCATGTGCATAGGTGAAAAATGGTTTATATAAGCAAATGACGGGAACACTGAATACCAGTTCAATCACTAAACCTTTATCCATTAAAGTAAAGGCATCTTTGAGGTGACCTGGTGGCTCACAGTGGACATCCTCTAAAAGACCAACCTAAGTTTAAGAGGAAAATTTACCTGTTCTTAAGGACTAAGGATAATATCTTACAACGATTTGCCGATTTCTTTTTCCCCAATTATCGTTGATATACCTAGGTTCCTGCCTGAAAGTGTTGCTGATCAACTGTTAATAGACACGGAAGGTCGTTGATGAAACGTTTCTTTTATTTCATCTACAACCATTTGAACCACTTGAACTCACTACAAAGACATTGGGCATTAGAAATATTTTGAAGTTTCGTTATCATGGTTACAAGGGCGCCCGTTTCAAAAGGGATTTTGTAATACTAACAAGGTAAGATAGGGACGAACTTTAATTTGAAATCTTTGATTGATTAGTCGTTTGGATCTATACATCCAATTAAGCATTTGCAGTTGGCTAGAATTAAATCAAGCTGAGAATGTACACGCATCTCTTCGGGTTATTTACTCCATCAGCAATTCCAGTCAACTAATATAGTTTCTCATTACAATCTACTTCTATTTTTGATTACAAAATAATCTTAATCTGGGGCTTGTGTTATTGCTGATTGTTACCTTTTGCGCTTTTTAGTAAATGTAAGTGCATATGCACTTACAATATTGTTCTCTTGTTGGGTCGTCGATCAACTTCTTTGTTCTTTTTTCCAGCCCTCACAAATGCTACTCTGCATACTCCCCTAGTGTATACCAAGTACCACCTGGCTAGACGTGAACCGCTTCATATGGTCAGAATGAGAAGTAAGAATTTCTCACCTTGGTAAAGATATCTTGACTTAAAGTTGTTAAAATAATAAACATTAAGACTGAGAATTATATAGTTAATTGCAAATTTGACAAACCAGCGTAAAAATCCCCATCAGAACTCTTCGGCAATATATCAAATGACATTCGCCTATTCGACATATCTTAAGTTTACCGTTTTATACTCTTTAAATTTCTGCTAAGGTACGCCTATAAACAAAGTCTATCCATAATCCAAGTCAAAACCAAGGTTTATTTCAACTGGTCTAGGCCAATATTTCAAGTTTTAAAAATTCTTCTAATGCAAACTTGCTTAAACATTAGGATTCTACCATCTGGAGAACCAAAAGGTTCCAAGAATTGATGACTCGGTGTGAAATCATGTATGCCATGGGTATCTTGTTCGTTCTTGAATTTTCTCCTTGCTGGGTTGGAAGAGAATAGAGGTCCAGCTTCTCAAGCCGCTCTCCGTATAGTAAACCATGGAGTTGTGGAATTGCACGATCCCTGTATTTAATCAGGATATTTGAGACATCTAAACAGGGTATTGCAGCATAAACGCAGTTGTCAAGTTTGGATCTCACTAATGTTGTGTAAACAGTAGTGAACACATTAGTACCTAACTTCGTGAATGTCCTCCACAAAGCCCATAGGGTTCTACACCACTTAGTTGCGATCCATCGGCAGTGGACCAGGCACATATATGTATCGGTCCAAGTTGCAACACCTCATTAGCACAACAAAATGAACACCAAATTCATAGGGGTAGTTACTTCAATGGTAGTAATATATAAAAGAAAGATTGTGTATAAGGATATAATACAAGAAGAAAGAATTAGTTCATAGAAATAAAGGCATGAAGCAATTTTAATCTCATAGTTTAAGGGAAGACAAAGTGTATACACGGACACCATTGTGATCGATTCTGAGCCATGTCACCCAGAGTCTCCAACCATTGCTTACGATAGTCACGCGGACCCCAACCAAGTAGTCTGCATCTACCAACATGGCTCAGACTAGAAGTTGGTGACTTCAAGCACTGATGCCACGTTTTGGTTTGACCGCCCTTAATTTTCTTCCAACCATCCCCAACACTAGTCAGCATTGTGTATTTTGGTAATCGGTGTTCAGGCATACGTAACACGTAGCCCAACCATCTCAGTCGATGAAGATTGACAACCTCATCAACTAATTTACTATCATTCTCTAATACTATGCGTCGAACCTCACTATTACTTACCCGGTGATCCCAGCAGATGCAAGCAATATTTCTAAGGCATCTGTGGTCAAATACTAGTAGCTTACGAGTGTCTTCTAATCTTAATCGCCATGTTTCACTGCCGTAAATTAAAACAGAACGGACTGCCGCATAGTATACTCGTCCTTTTATTGATAGACGGATATCTCGCCTTCGTCATAGGTGACGTAATTTGGCGAAAGCCAAACGAACTTTCTGAATCCGTGCTGAGATTTCGTCAGGCACCAACCCGTTAGGGCTGATCAGACTTCCAAGATAATTGAAGTTTTCAACGCGTTCGACTACTTCACTCCCTATCCTTAGTTCAGGTGTTGACGCAGACCAATCCTGAAGCAACAACTTGCATTTCGAGGGAGAAAAGCGCATTCCAAACATCCTGGCATTGTTGCTCAGTGCTACCAAAAGACTGCATTTTATCAGCGTCTTCACCAAACAGGACTATACCATCTGCGTATTCTAAGTCGATAAGTGGACCTCCTGGAAGGAGATCAATACACGAGAATTCAGTAGACGAGAATGTTATTTCCATCAATAGGTCGATGATGAAGTTAAACAAAAACAGAGAAAGTGGACAGCCTTGTTGGACACCACTTGAGGTTGCAAAAGCAGATGACAGTTCGCCATAAGCTCTCACTTGACTAGTAGTGTTTGAGTAAAGAGCCTTTACAAGGTTTAGATACTTCTGAGGTTCACCTTTCAATGACAGACACTGCAGCAGAACCTCTCGGTCTATAGAATCAAATGCTGCTTCTAAATCAAGAAAGATCACCATTGTCGGACGCCGATAAGCATGACTGCGTTCTAAAATCTGACGAATGGTTAATATATGGTCGATGCAGCCACGACCAGGTCTGAAGCCAGCTTGATTCTCTCGTATTTGCGGTTCACGAGTCTTTGCTAGGCGTTCGATAATTATTGATGCTAGTATTTTAGATGCTATGTTAGTCAAACTAATCCCTCTATGGTTATCACAGGATGATTTTGACCCTTTCTTATGTATTGGGACAATAAGTGGTTGGAATCAGTCAGATGGAATGTTATATAGATCGCAGATTTTAGCTAGAATACTAGTCAACTTAGTCGCCAAAACTGAACCACCATCCCTAAAGACCTCTGGAGCCAATCCATCTGGACCAGCTGCTCTTCCTCGTTTCAGGTTAGCTATAGCCTTTTGAACTTCAGCTAGAGTCGAGGACCTACTTCAATGTTCTATTCCCGCTGTTTGGGAATAGTGGGTAGTTGTAGAGTGGCTGAAGGTCAGCTGAACTGCTTCTTAAAGTGTTCCTCCCATCGTTCTAAATGTTTGAACTGGGAGCAATTAAGAATGTCATCTTTTTCCGAGATACTTTCACTTACACTTGACTTATTAATTCCAGTTTCTTTTATTAGTCTGAAGAGCTGCCTTGTGTTACATACAGCAGCCGCCTTTTCCATCTCTTTTTTTCTTCCGTTGCCCACCACTGCTCACGGTCGTTCCTTAGACTTTTGGTTAACCTAGATTTGATCCGCTTTCGCTCTTCATTGAGTTCAGAGCCTGATGGGATGAGTTTACGAAGACCTATCAGTGCAATAGACTTAGAATAAATCCACTGGTTTTTCGTGACTCTTCTGTTCAAACCATAAATAGGTGTCGCTGCTATTCCCACAGCTCTTTGCATATCTTCCCAAGCAACATCTAGAACAGCCTCGTTTTCAGAAATACCTGATTGTGACCTCAATTGATCCTGGAATCTACTTTTGGCCTTCTCATCACTAAGTTCAACTAGCAGGTCCTCTGAGTATGGTTTTTCTGCGTCCATTGAGGCGCAAGCAGATACGTGCTCGTAATAAAGCATGGTCGGAGTCCAAGCAGGTATTTCAGAATGAGCAACAATCTTCCATCGACCCTCTCCAACTATGACTGATGGCAATATGGTCTATTTGAGTCCATCGTTGGTTTGGTGTAGGGGGTCGTCATGTTAGACGATGTCTCTCCTTATTCTTAAAATTTGTGTTTGCTAGAAATAAACGATTGTCTGAGCACAGTTGCAGCAGACAGTCACCATTATCTGTTTGCTGAGCCGGGATACTAAAATACCTACTTCAATGTCTTTCTGTTTGGTTTAAGCTTCCTACGTGGGCATTAAAGTCATGTGCTACGAGTATTATGTCTGGGCGTTTAGCTCTTTGAATAAGTTCAGAAAGCTAACTGTAAGTTATCTTTCACTTCATCCAGGCCGCAGTCAGTGAGAGCGTAGGCAGAAACAAAGAAAAGGCAACGTGTGTCTCTATCCTTCCGAGTTCTTACGGAGCCGTTTAGCCGAACAGCACATAGGCGACTATTAACGGGGATCTACTCTAATAGTGCTTGTTCCGTCCTCGTATTTAGTGTTATGCCTACACCTGCTAGTCCACGAGAACTGGCCATTGGGTCGCCATATGCACGGAAGGCGTATCTCGTCGGCTCTCCGTTTTGGCAAGGTGAGGTCAAGTGAATGACTACACTAGTATCCTGTATGCGTGTTTCGGAAACAAAACATATATCAATAGTACGAGATTCAAGGGTTTTAGCCAGGGAGCCCTGATGGCCGATTTGACCTGGGCTGTGTACGTTGAAGGCTGCAATGTGTAGTTTGGAGCGAGATTTCAGTAGACCTGGGACAATGTTTTGCGCACTAGAATCGTTGGCTATGGTGACACTTCAGGAGGAAGCCAAAAGAGGAAGTTTAGTGTTGAAAGTCGGTGTAGGAGGAATAATAGGAATTGGAGAGGGTGGTTGATTATGAATACAGTGGTCTTGAGTGGTGTTAGAGGTATGAAGGCGGTTTTCACTTCCCGGTCGCCCACACCGTGGGAGGGTTCTTCTAGAGGTACCTGAAAGGGAAATTGGGCATGAGGTGGTTTTAATGACCTGAGAGTGTGACCAGTGCCCAAAAGACAACTACTTAAGGTTTGCAACATACGACCTTTTTGTGGGAAATTTTCGTTTTAGCTCCGTACTTGTTGAGACCTTACCGCCGGGGAAGAAGATCCATGAGATAAGGTGAGCTGTGCATTTTTAGTGTCGACCTTTTCCAACCCCAGCATCGCTACAGATGTTGATTGTCTGAGGGAAACACCTTACTGTCGTCACACCTCTGTACAGTCAGCAGTAGGACTCCGCCTTCGGACCTTGGGTTTGCTGCTGTTAGTTTTACCGTTCTTCAACCGACGTGTCTGGTACAGTAGGACCTTATAGAACGATTGTTCCAGCTAGTATAGCTCGATTGGTTCATCACGATAGGCAAGCCCAACCACCACGTCAAGGTGGCAACAACGGTCGGGTATCATCCCAAGATCCTCATGAGACTGGACTACGGGTACTAGCTCTTCCTATATGTTGTACGTATTTGTCTTTGCATCCCCAATATGCATATAGGCCCATTTGGCCGCGTCGATAGGCATTATGCATATTTTAAATCAGCTAATCAAAACATCTAAGTGTGCCTGAAGTGCACATGCATCTGTGTCTCCTGTTATTTCTCGCCGGATGTTTGCATCATCAGTATATAATAGCAGTGAGGACTCAACTATACTTGGAAGTCCATTTGCATACAGTATAGAAATAAAGGACCTAGGACAGTCTTGTGGTACTCAACGAAGGACTGGTTTATGGTTGGAGCACTAGGAATTTATTTTTACTTTCTATCTACGACTTACCAAGAAATTGTTGATTCATTTTAGGAGAAGTTTAGCAACCTCTAGATTTTTCAGCTTCAAGAGAAGTCTGTTATTTAGCATCTTACCAAATGCTTTGCTGAAGTCTATTTACACAATATCCACTGATTTTCCATTATCTAAATCTTCTACCCATTGCTCACTTACTATAAGGAGATTTATTATGCGAGATAGTCCTTTCCTGAAGCCATATTGTTCGCTGTTCAACAAGTTGTTGGTCTCCACGGATGTCATTATTGCCTTTTTGGTTATTTCCAGTATTTTAACTACGTCACTGGTGAGGCTCAAAGGTCTGTAGTTTGATGGGAGTTGTTTTGATCCTATTTTATGTATTGTGGTGACAATTTCATCCTTCCAGTCCGTAGGTAACTCGCCTTGGCTGAGTAACATATTGAATGTCGTAGTCGTTAGGGCAATAATATATCGTGCTATTTGTCTCAAGATTTTAGGGTGTAATTCATCCGGTCCTGTTGATTTTTCCATGTCTGAAGTGCTAAGGGCTTTTAGTATATCGTCTCAAACGAAGTCCACAGTGAGCCTATTTTGTGACTTTGTATTTTGGTCTAGTTTGTCGTCTGGAAGAGGCTCTTGAGTGAAAACTGTACCAAAATGGTTTGCCATAGCTTCTGCTTTGTCCTGATCATCCTCTATTATTTGAGATCCACTCCCGTAATTAGGTTGATAATCTAGCACTCTGTTATTTTTCTTCAATTTGTATACGAGAACAGTCTCTTCGGCTGCTTGATTACAGACTGGGCCGACTGCTTTTCATATTTCCTCTGAGCTGTCCGGATTGTAATTATACACTTATTTCGTGCTGACCTGTAGCGTTCCATCGTACTTGTTGTGTCGAGGTTGATGGCAACGTTTCAACATTTCTTCTTTTTTCTTGGCAAACGTCGAATATTCTGGTCTTTCCAGGGATGATCGTGCTTCTTCTTTTTTTGCGACTGTCCAGAGTATAAATGGTTAAGTCATTTGATTGTATAATTGCCAGTAATGAGTCCATGCCTCTTCTACTGACGCCCCTGAGTCAATTATTCAGTTTTCAGCCGATACTACAGAGTTGATCGCCTTCATATCTGCGTTCCGTATGTAAGGACGTGTCAGCGCAACTGCATGACAGGCTATCTCAGCCATGAGCTTGAGTAAGATGACCACATGACCACTTCTCCCTAGAGGTGGGAGGAAGGTTACTTGACAGTCATCATCACCGTGCGTGAAGACAGTCCAAGAGAGACGAGTTTTTTAGGTCACCTCCAATGTTCTGGAATAAAGCTAGGGTGATTGTGATTTCGAACAGCTTGTAATCAAGCGATGTTTTTGATGGCCCTACTTCTAAGTTTCCGCAATTTATATACGGTGCGTCAAATTCACCTACTATGGGGCCTTTACAACTGTTTGACGAGGATTTAAGTTTACTTAGGAGAAGCGCACCAGTTAATATGTCACTGATTTGTGTACCACTGTCCCAACAGCTCATATGATTAAGGCGCTTTTTGTGTACAGGACAACCCAGCTACCCCAACAGTTTAGTCTATCAGCCCTACAGAGTAAGAAAAATGTAATTGAATTTCAGCTCCATACTCTTCTAGCATTAACCATATCTCTGAAACGGTAATGGCACCAGGAGTTTCTGTGTTCACCACGTTTTTGAGCTCCACCATTTTATTTAGCAGGCTGTGAGCATTTTTTAGCATACCTTTAATTACGTGAAGAACTTTGCCGTACCACCCATAGTGGTTTGATGATCGTTTCGCTCCGAACGTTTACAATGTACAAACACTTAATTATAGGGTTTTTACACCGTTTCGACGGCGCTCATTTATTTCTACCTCTGACGATCGTCTCAATATGACCAGCCAGGCTGAGATCCTCACAGGCATATATTCGGGATCCAGTCAGTTTGCGTCCCTTTCTTCATCATAAGCAACTTTTCTGTGTACTTTTATAATCCACTTTTCGTCCTATTCTATGAGCTTAATAATGCTAACTCGTTCTACTATTTCTGGAATTAGATTGCTTATCAAGGACTTAATGTGACCTAGATCGTGTTCAAATACAGCCTTCGGTTCCTCTTGGAAGACTTTCTTAACTTATGAAAAATGACTGACCGCCCAGCGAAATCCGTCTTGTTAAGCTGTGAAGTTCAGTTTTCTGAAATCTCATCCTTGTAGTCCAATGTGGCGTCATACGTGCGGGTCTCACTCTGTTTCTTTAATTTTCTGGATGTAACCGTAAGCTAATGATTAGCCTTGATCAAATCATCTATACTGCTCAGGCTTTGTTCCTGCATAGTCTGTTTTTCGTTGATATGAGAATTCAGAGCTGAAACTGTCGGCTCACATATCTTAGAGCTCCAAATAATTTGTATCTTCTTAGCGTGCTTTTTTTCCTAGTAACGATGCCTACATCTGTGTATTTGTTATCCGCTACGTTATGGAGGTCCCCCTGGATGGTTTCATTTACATGCAAAGCTGGACTTATATTAACACTCCACCTCTTCTTAAACTGACATCTACTCATCTGCTGTTGGCTGTTTATCTGAGGGTATTTTCCTAGCTATGTTCAGCAGTTCAATCACCTCAAGAATCAGCAGAATTTGTAGAGCAGCACGCTTTGCACAGCTAACGCGATATTGGCTTACAACACCTTTTACATGCAGCCGGTGTGAGTTCGGTGAACACATTGTGATACCATTTGTTGAAGTAGTCACAGTGCATTCCATGCTTTACCTGAACACAAAACGCTGAGACTTTTATGTTACTGTAACTGAAAGACCTGACTTAAATAAACATAAAAGAAGCGTTTACACTTTAGGATATAGTCGACGATTATTGACTGACTGGTTGATTAGGTGGTTGGAGTCAAATATTAGAAAGCCACAGACATATGTTCATGCTATTTGGGACTTTTCAACTAATCATGTCCGTAATATTGGTCGAATAGATACTTTCCAATGTATAAGTGCTAAAATGTTTAAAACTGATAAATATGGGAATAATAAGGAATAGGGACCATAATTTATATATTTCAAGAAACCTGATGATTCACCACGCCTAAAAAAGATCAGCTCAGTATTTAAGTATTTAGCAATATGGGCTACCTAAATCCCAACCAAAACTACCCTTCTCAGCTTCCCATGAGATAAATTATTTATTAGTATTAATTGTATCCTGATTGGCTTGAAACCGGCTTCACATTTTTATGATCGTTTTTAGCGTCTTCAAAGGAGTTATCAAACTATTTTTACTAAGAAAATGTCCAATATTACATTCTCTTATTCTTTTAGACATAGATAGGAAGGAATTTTTATTTGAAAATCCTGTTAATGATATACCTATGGACGTAAGACGAGTGAAACTGATCAGCCAATCAGAATGGAAACGTTTAAAAAACAAACTGGATAGTAATTTGAATGAAACTTCTAGAATAGAAGAGAAGAAGTTACAGATTGAAAAAATTAAAACACAGTCAAGAGAAATGGTAAAAAAATGGACAAATACACTTTTGGTATGCTCATTTGTTTATTTTAGTAGGCATTTTGTTTCTTATCACTTAAGTATATTGAAAAGGATAATGGTGAAGCGTATTTTATCATCACACTGAGATTGATTTTGTGACTAGTAAATGTTTTGTAGTCAGACTAAATTCTATACTTTGTGCACACTAATGCTGGAGATATACGCATTTTGGCCTAATATAACGAGTGAAATTGTAATGAGGTGAATGTGGCTAAAATTTTATTGGTTGGTTTGTTCTGGAGCGCGATCGTTTTCTCGTGCGTGACCTATTTGGTGACCATCTTTGTAGTCTGTCGTCCTACTTAAAATTCGCCAACATATAGGATGAAACATCTATCTCTTTCTGTAGCGTATCGACCCTGTGACCTCACGTTGTGTTATATAATTGAGGACTCGTTTGCTTGGTTCTCTCGCATATTCTATCGGCTATTTTTGCAATATTGTCTATATTCAACTGCTAGGATCTTTTGTACATCATAGTGAACTAAAGTTGGTGGTTAGCGACCCTAAAAGGCGGAATAAAAGGATTAAGGGACCTTACAGACGGCGTTTGGAATGGAACTAGCGTATCGTTATATGACGACACGTTTATAAATAGTGAATAGTGTACGTAAAAACGATGTATATGTAAAGGAAAGAAGTCAATAAACGCAAACGAGTATAACAACTGATGCAATGTTATAGCACAGAAAAGGTCTACTGAACTACACCAGTGTATCATATGTGTCTATAATGTTCTGTATTCCACTGCTAGCCACCATTCTTCTCTGCTTATAAATAGTAGTGAGTTTAGTTTCCATAACCCTTATTCTTCTCGTTTCAAAAGTCATCTCAGTAGGACGCAATCTACTTGTTTCTTAAGTTAAACTATCCATATCTTAATTTGTCTGGTTCATTATTAGTTTTAAACTCTGAATGTTTCATCAAAATACGTTAAGAAAAAGTGTCGTACTATATCCATAATGAGTTTTAGTCCTATGCTGCGTATATTACTCGTCCTGATAACCATTATTATGTAACTCTAAATGGTAAAAATTTCCAGAGGACATTAGGAAGCGTTGACTGCAGATTATTGTTATACAGTACAGATCCCATTGCCACAAGCACACGAAGCGAACACGAATAGGAACGTGAATGAGAGTGAAGTAATAGGATCGAAGATTCTTATATATATAGGTTTAAGCAACTAGTAATTAATCTAGTAAGACGGATGTGTATGTGCTGTAACATTCTCATACAAACATGACAATAATACAAAATTATAAACAAATTGTTACTGCCCCAACGACACTATCTATTAAATAAGTTAGTTGGACTTACTTAAGCCCTTTGCCCTTAGTTGAACATCAGCCACCGACTAAGAAGAATTATTCTTTCATGATGTGGGCTACCGGGTGCTGACCACCGCCCTCGTACCTCTAATACGTTTCAGAGTTTATGAATAGATGCTTACTTTTGTCTAACATTATGTGTAGGACTTAATTTGTCCTACAGATATTTTACTAGAACTGTAAACACGATAATGATGACCCCAGAGTCTATGTGAAAGCTATAATCAGAACAAGTGTTGTTATTAAGTAAAATAACAAGGGTCTGCTTCTTTGTTCTTTGTAACAAACTTACTCTAGTTGCGTAATCTTGAAAAATTTTTTCTTCCATTTGAATCAGTTTATTTTCATTGGTTATCGCTTCAATTTCTGCTTTGCGTTCTTTCTTGGCTAGTACTCGTTTTACCATCTGTGTCGCATTTCATAATGAGTAAACATTAATGTATAATTAATTGATAACATTATGTTACTACTTACTTTGAAAAATAAACTCCGCCTGGAGTCCCTCCGGGGGCTACTGCCGGTCCCAAGCCCGGATAAAGGAGGAGGGTTGGGCATGGGGTTAGCGTCCCCAACCCGTAGAAAACTAACTCGCTAAAAATACGCTAACCAGAAAAAATTATTCAAACCTTGAAAATAAGTAGTATGAGTTATTAATACAGCGTGTTATAAGTTTTGGTGTTTATTCCAAAATATTAAATCATCAAGTAGTTTAAAATTTTTACTTCTATTAGTATTCTTGGTTTTTGAACAAAATATGCACGGATAACCTCAGTATGAAAAAAGTGATTTTTTAATGAATTACTCAGACCAAGTGTTCAGTACTACGATTGGGAACTGAAATCGATGTTAAATATTCCTAGTAAACAAGCAATAGAAGTGTTCACGATTAAGCAGAGAGTTCATCTTTGGAAAAATATGTTTAGTACAGCTGGTAATTAATGAGAAATCATTATGAAGCTAAAAATACGATAATCAACCTCAAAATAATAAACAATTGTAATTTGACTGAAATGACACATTACCTACTGATTCACACCTGTCACTCCTAGTGGAACATCGGCCACCAACAAGGAATATCTAAACAAACTTGACCTGGTCTCTCCTTTCCTGTTGTTTCCAGTCACTATTCATTCTTCTGATATCTGCTTCCAATTCTCTGTGCAATGTGTTCTTTATTCTTTCACTTTGCAGTCTGTCTTCACGATTCCAAGTTGGCGCTTGCCTCGTGATGCAGTTTGACGATTTTTGCAATTTATGAGGTATCTACCTCCAATGTCTTCCTAATTTCATTCTTATTTGGAAGTCGTTTTGTTCCTCCTCCTTTGTTTTGAAGAATGTTGTGATGGTTCTGGATCCATGAGATTCCCATCCTATAAGTGCTTTAAGTGCTTCTTTGGACTGTATCGGTGCAACTCACAGAGTGTGCGGAGCATTTTCTTCTTCGTGACCAGAGCACGGCAGCATCTCTCTCGTATCTAACCTTTTTTTATCTAGCTTTGATTCAATAGGTTTTACTGATTCCGAGATCCGCCAAGTTGTATCTCCTTGTTTCCGTAACTATTTGACCAGTCCTTCCGATCTCCCACATTGTCCGAACATCCTATGTATCTATATTAACTGTTGCTCTGTTTGTTAGAAGGGGAATCTGCTAGGTTTGAAGCGATTACGAGTTCACTTAGACTGCGAACGGAACAAAGACTTGCGACCAAAGATCAAATAACTAGCTGTTCTATTGCGTCCTAGCCCCGCTAACTAGAAAGAGAAGTCAAAGTCTGAACGGGGAAGTATATTCCGCAAAATCCCAGAAGCACGAGCGATCACAACAGACACAGATCAAAGCGTAAATATACAGTACAAAACCGTCCTCAACAAGCGTTACAAAATAGCATACTAAAAGACACAACGGACCAATAGCGTTTAAAATTCTCACTGGTGGGAAACACGACATGAAGGTGAAAAGAGAGCTTTTGGCGCGGAAACAAACAAATTCAAATTTTCTAAATAAAATTACAAAATTAGGTCTTTTCCCAGTGAGTTCTGGTGACCTAACGTTCCCAAGAGAATCGGCCTCGTGACTTCCGAAGAATCTCGGCTCTCACCATGAGGCGTCATGATTCCTCTAAAAGAAGGTCCTTCAAATCCCAGGACAGAGTTTGAATGGTTTAAATGATTTCTTTCTGAATGGTGTTTTTTAGTAGGGTTGTTTTCTACGCGATGAGGTTGCTGACCCCATGCCCAACCCTCCTCCTTTACCGGTGCTTGGGACCTTTAGCAACCCTATAAGACCTACAATGGGAGTTAATTTAATTGAAAGGCTTACCAAAATCAAATGTATAGAAGCACAACATCTTTTCAAAATTACAGGAATATTTTAATTTCTCCCCCATAATTTGATTTTTATTCCCGTTTTTTCTAAAAAACTAATTAATCTAATAAAATAATCAGGGATCAAGAGAAAAGAAGCTTGAAGATCGTTCTAATCGTTTGGCCGATGAGGAAAAAGGTAGAATGGCCATCGATCGTAAAGAGGAGAAATTCCAAGTGGAACAAAGAAAGAAAGCTGTCGATAAAGCGAAGCAGCAATTATATTACGAAACGGATCGTGTTCGATCATTACATGTAAATTCATATTATAACGTAATAATCCTAATAATGATTATCGTAATATCAAAACTAAAATTCATGAGCGAAATTACGCAACTCTTAAAGTAAATGTGAGAACGTTTTACCAGATCCCAGTGATTAGTTTGTAATAGAGAAAATAACAACAAACAAAACATCAGTTTTTTGTTAACATTTCAACGTTCTTGTGGTTTACATTCAAACGAAGCAACGCTGTTGATTTTCATATATTAGGCTAAAATGTATTCCTCCACTAATACCCTTATATTGATGAAGAGAATTATTAAGTCATGTCTTTATTGTTTTTATGGACTAATCCTAATGATAATGCTAAACTTTAATTATCATCCTAACTAGCTACATTTCTGTTATATTCATTATCTTTATACTCGATAACCGAGGACAAATGAATTAAGTGCCAGAATACAAATGTTCCTTAATGTATATTTAAGTAATAAAATTAACCGGCATATACGTTATCTTAAACAAACATAGTCTAATAGGAGTGAGTGGACACAACTGGATTGAAATAATAGTAGTATTGGAATAACACAAAAACTGAACCTATTTGTGATTGAATTAGATTTATGTTAACATTGGCACTTGGAATGGAGATAACACTGAAAATAGGATATCCAACAATCGTATTGTTGTAAGATAAATCCAATACTGCATTAGACTGATTCAGTTTGTATTGTATTGAAACGAATTCAAACTGTCCAGAATGTTAATCAGTCAGTATGCCTGAAATGTTCATGCGTCAATATAATAGTGAAATATGATTGATCTATAAACAGATAGATAGACAGACAGACAACCAAGCAAATGAATATTGGAGGGATTCATGTGTAAGGCATTCTGATTAATCACAACTGAGCACAAGTTAACCGATAAAGTTGCATTCAACAGTCAGATATCGTCTTCCAAAGTGAGTGTACGATATTTGCATTTAACGTGTCTATTAAATATCATCATTTCTTCATCGTAAACTCAGAATGGTTTTGAAAAATAACCGGCTTCCTGTTTTTACGTTGTTATATTTTCGTCAAAATTAGTATGCATGCGATCGACAGAGTAACAGCTTGTTTGAACCATTTACCATGATCTTGAAGTCACATTTTCTTATCTTACTTTCTTATCCCCATACTTTGGCCCAGCCATATTAGTGGTTATCAGAAATTGTTTGAAATCATCTCCGTACTTATTAATTTCATTGACTCATTTCGCACTATTTTTAAGATTTTGTTTTCCTGTGCCTATTTGTTGTTATGGCTTCTGTCTATAGTCAGGCTTAAACCTAGCAGAAACTTTGAAAGAACGTGATATGCAACTGAGATTTAAACATTTCAAAAATAAATCAGAAGTGAACAAAGAAAAAATATATCTCGAAACGATGCGGAAAAGTATTGAAGGAGGTAAATTTTAAAAACAATACATAAATAGAGTGAAAATATTTATATATTTATTTTTCATAGTTTATATAGCTGACTGATCTTCATTAGAACACCACTGTGAACCAGGAAAACTAGACAGCTATTTCGTCCTAGTACGACAGTGTGTTGCGGACCTCTAAAAGAACTCTATGAAGATGTGACAATATGCAAGAAAAATAATAATATACCAAAACAGATATTGATACCATAAACCGGAATACCTATATATAGATAAAAAACGATGGAACGATAACACTTGAAACAATATTGTAAATTGAATGACAAAATAGTACCAACAGTTTTGTGATGAATGTTACTTTTAAGCTCCTGAGTAACCACCACAAATAGATTCCACTCGATTATCAAATGCTCTTTTGCACTAAGATGGTGGCTGGGGTTAGTCAACAAGAAATCCTGGATCTAGGTTTCGTGCTACTTGGCACTTGTCAGCAAGGTGTATCTGTAATCTTGAGGGAACTGGTGCTTCCTGACGGATTTGACCTCATGTCACACAGCTTCACAGTCAGAGACGTTATCACTGGGCTATCCAGGCTGTGACTGACCTCTTGTTGGACTGAGATGCATTTACATTGTAACTTAGTCGATAGGATTCGATCTGCACTAAGAAGGACCTGACATACATGACATTGATCACCCAGTGATCAATCAATCGTAAATGCTCTTCTGCACTTTTGGCACAGACAGTTCAGAAAATAATATAAATCTGATGGCGTTACTTGGTAATAATCCAGAACAATAGTTCCAAGTAGTGTAGAGCGGTCTAAAAACGATATTACGATTTTATAATCAAATGAGATAAAATGGAGCTGTTAAGATTTTTAAATACACTTTTGCTTAACCACACTGAGAGGTGCTCACGGGCCCGAATATACAAATTTCTAGAACATTTGCCAATATAACTTGCTCTACAGAAGCAGTTGAATTAATAGGTACAGAAAGAAGTGGCTAGTCTAGGTAATTTATCTTTCAACCTTGGAGGGATTATTGGACATGTGGAAAACATTAATTGTAGTTTACCTACATTACAAAGCGTTGCGTCCAAGCACGATTTCCAGGTTTGTACACCGGTCTATTAGTTTGTTGGTCGTATACATCTTTCTGGTGTTTATTGGGATTCGGTGTGTTAGTATTTACTGTGTGGTACACATCTGCGATTATTTCGAAGATTATGGATGTACGGTAATTGTTCCTGAGTTTCACACAGTAAATAGGATATATGTTTCTCAACAGGTAGATAGATTCGTCCCCATAATTTCTTAGTTTTGCTCTTTTATAATACAAAAGGAACGTGACTAAGACACTTCATTATAGAATCAAGACCATATGCTCTCTAGACACGGTCGAAGATGAAACCAAGTTATTATACACGACCCTGAAGGAAAATGGATGTAGGGAGCAATTTCCTACAGGTTTAATTCTGAGCTATTCTCTAGACCGTCGAATACAGTCTTGGTTTGGCCAAAGTCAGAACAAGCAAGCTATTAGGCTAGATAAACTTTATGTTTCTAAAACATAAGTTAACATCGTTAGTGTACAAACAAACTGTACGGTCTATTAATACAGGGAAAAAAAACAGACAAATAACATACCAAACAGTAGCCAGAGAATAGGAAAAATGAGTCAACAAGCAAATATTGTTTTACAATGAACATTAAACTGTGATTGGTTAATAAAGAGATACAGTCGTACAATGTCAAAAAGAGTTAATGTAGTGGTGAGCGTTTCCCTTTATTATTGGTGGGTTCGTCTATCGATCACATTTTACAATGAATATCCTATGAATTTCATAGGATAAATAAAAACAGCCAGTAAACAGAGCATAAGGAATGCCTAACTGTGAACAAATAGCCTCTGTATATACGCTTACAATTCAGAGGCGATGCACCAAATGAAACGCTGAAACTGAAGTTAAGCAGATCAATTGAAAGAACTTTTAGTGCAGGTAAACTACAATTAATGTTTTCCACATGTCCAATAATCCCTCCAAGGTTGAAAGATAAATGACCTAGACTAGCCACTTCTTTCTGTACCTATTAATTCAACTGCTTCTGTAGAGCAAGTTATATTGGCAGATGTTCTAGGAACTTGTATATTCGGGCCCGTGAGCACCTCTCAGTGTGGTTAAGCAAAGGTGTAGTTAAAACTGTTGACAACTCCATTTTAGCTCATTTAATTCAAACAGGACATACAGTTAACATGGAGCAATCTTTCACTTTTATCATCTTTGATCATAGATCGTGGACAACAAATTAGAAAAGTTAATGACGTTGGTAGTACTTATTCGAACATTAAAAGTAGGGTAGTTATCGATTAACCAATTAATTATGCCCGCTCATAAATGATACAAATAAATCATAGTTATTGAACATACATGTGATCACACGTAGGATGTATTTTTGTGGCTATAAAATTCATTAAATATGCATTTCACTATATGTGCATCAACGATCCCACCGGGGATCAAGTCTAGCGCCCTCACTTTGGCGTGCAAGACCGTACGTCTCTGATGGCGCAGTCATGTACGAGAAAGCTGTTCGTTTCTTCCTGGTTTTTAATGGTGCTCTAAGATCAGTTTGTAGTCTAAAATATAAAAATGTAACAATCATGACGAAACTTCTATACTGCTACGTATCTACTATTTGACTTCGATAATATGTATAGTTCAATGTTCACAAGAGTATCTGGATTCCAGTGCCTAGCCCCAGTTCATCTATTCTATATAAAACTTTGACATAAATGAGGATATCTAGATAATCCTCATAGAACAAACGCATATCCCAACGAAAACTAATTAACATTCAGTCAAAAATATAAACAGCGGGATCGCTTAAACATTTTCTACTAATGATGCTAATAGTATAACTGTTGGAAAATTCGCTAAATTTGTTTAAGAAAATATGAGACGAGTTTAGTAGTATTTATAGTGTTCGGTATACTGAAAGACGTGTATTTCTGGGATTGTTGTTTAAAAATAATGTTAGAATATACTGATATTCACCGCACATAGCAACAAAATATTTAACTGTATGCTTGATTGAATAATAATTATTATTCAGTCTAAATCATTAAAATAGTATTTTCACTCGATTCCGTTATGTTGAGGTTGTCTCCAATGTTTTCAATGTGGTACCTAGTACTTTTGGTTATTCTTCTGTTTATTTAGTGAATGAGTGACGCATGTTTAACTCTTAATAAAGATTACCCTAACCTCAGTACTATTCGTTTTACTTATATGCATAATATATTGAAAAAGATATATTCAATCAGTGTTATAAAAAGGCATTATTTGACTCTACATTAAATATAGAGTGCATCTTCTTTCACTCTGAATGGTAAATTGTATTTGTTCATCAAACCTTTGTCAACGCTAGTGATTACACAAATACACGTTTATATACGATAATCTATTAACACTGACAAACAAGTCTTCTAGAATGATAGATATAACTGACATCAACTAACATTATCCTTCATTACAGCTTTTCATTAGAGAAGTACAAATGTAGAAAGGATCACAAATGTTACTGATAGCGTACATAAAAACTTTATCTACTCTACTGTCTGACGACATTAGCAGTTAGTCAATCAATCAATCAAATGCAACGTAGAATCTGGGACATGTGTACTTAGGTTCAAGTTACCATATCCCGTGAACACAGCAAGATAAGATCATCAAAATAAATCCCAGAGTGGTTGTGGCAGTAATAGTATTACTCGTAATGGAAAAGATGGAAGGCATGGAAGATGCAATTCGAAAAGAAAACAAACTACTGAGACAGGAAATTCATGAGAAATTTAGAAAATTTGGGTTAAAGGGAAGATAAATAATAGATGCACCTGCGCCAAAGCAAACAATTTCGGGTCATGTTACCCAAATTTCGAACCATTGGTTATGATAATCACGCGAAACTCAACCAGTTTATCTGCGCCTACCTGCATGGCTCAGTTAGTAGTCAATATCTTAACGGACAGTTGTTATGTCTTGGTTTCACTCCCCTAAACTTTCTTCTAGCCTACTCCTACATCAGCTATCATCACTCCTCGAGGTATTCGGTGAATGGGCATACGTGATACATGTCCTAACCATCTTAGTTTATAAGGATTCACTACCTCGTCAACCGATTGGCCATACTTACCTAGTACTCTACGTATAACCTCAGAATGACGACTATATATAATGACTAAATGATGTATCGAGTGACAGTGAGTAGTAATTGTTTAATGAGCAAACATAATGACATATGGGAATGCTAAATATATGAGACTACATCATATTATAAGTTCATCCTACTCGAAATTCACTCTATGCTGACTATTTGTGCCTTGTGTCAATAAACTAATGTTCTGGTCTACAAGTGATTCTTAATAAATATCACTTACTCAGTGTCCTGGTGGTTTGATAGATGGACAATAGAAAGTGACAAATTATCGTGTATTTAGAGAGCATTTAGTTAACAGGTCTTCTAGAAGGCTATAGAAAATATCTAATTTGCTGTTTTTCATTTTAAATTTAGACGCTAAACAGCAAAAAGTGATGATTACATAAGAATTCACTTTGAACTTAGCTATTCTCTCATATGTAACTTAAACTTTTAATATTGTTTTGTATCTATACTAAAATTATGTATGAACTAAAAATATGGAGCAGTTGTAACCTATTTCTCCAATCCTGAAGACAGTTATAGTCATTTTCTAAGTGATTGTCTCCCCTTTCGCTTCGTCGTGTCTGTGGTAATACGGTTGAAGCGTTGTAGTTGTGGAGCAATAGTAGATATACGATCCATGTAATTAGGATATTTTTAATTCAAGTTACAATATACTAAATGGGAACACTGTAGGTTTTAAATTCTTTTGCTTAAAATTCACATGTAAAACGAAAGTTCACTAACTTTAAGAATAATCTACAATACAGTCAATACTGGCGATGTTTTGAGTAACTTTGTCGTACTAGTAGAGTGTATTGGTAGACTGGAATAAAGCTGGTGACAGCGTAACCAAAATGTGGCATTAATCCATTAAGTTATCAACTGTTAGTCTGAGCCAAGTAAATGGGGTCCACATAATAAAAACTATCAGTAATTATAAACTTTTGGTAACTCGGCTCACAGTCGTTTGCAACGGCACAGATGCATTCACTCTTTATCTTCCTCTCGGTCCTGAAATCCACTATTTCATCATATTTACCTTTTCCTTTTGTCTTTCTGAACCATATTCTCAATGTTTAATCTTTCTGAACGTTTTTGCAGTTTCTGTGCTATTCATCTTGTTAATCTAATCTCATCGTACTAATGTGGTAATCAACTTCGGCCAAATCACGTATGTCTCAGGCTCTATATTGATCTCGACTGACCGTATATTTAAATGCCATTTAACATCAGATAACGCAGGTAATGTATGGTCTAAAAGACCGATAAACCCAAGCAACATTCTTACCTGTTTCCTAACCTATTAATCAGAACTCTAGGAAAATCACCTAAGGACATTATTTATTGTTCCATTTTATTCAGGCATAAAAACTCATGATAATATACAGATATTACCTGACTGTAACATAACGTAACTAATAAATCCCACTGGTACAAGGCTGAGTAACAGACTTATTATTAAATTACTGTAGTTTGTAATCGACAAAAGCTGCTTTATTAGCTAATAAATCACGTAAATGCTTCCAGTGAAAAAAAATTGCAATACCGTAAACCAATTATTTAAGAAATTTGCAATGAGAAGGAGTGACTATTGGAGTTCAGCTGTGTTAATGATGAAGATAATGAGAGATGATCATACAATATCGCAAATTGATTGAAGTTAGAGCCGTAAACTATAGGATTCTAACTCAATAGTCTAAAGTTTTAGCTTTCTCTGCGATACCTGAAATGCCTGGGTCCGATACCTGGCGAGATCATGAATGAACACTTCTAAGGAGTCCGATTATGGAAAAATCGGTTTTCTAATATTTCCTGGTTTCCAATTGTTGTTTAGCTTGAGTCTATTAATTGTCTCATTAATACTTAACAATTCCCACAATTCATCTTATTCTGAAAAATATACCTACTGGATCTTCAGAGAATAACTTTCCAAATTACATGTTTTCGCTTATTCGCTCCATGGTAACAACGTTCTTTTATTTTTCAATAATATCTTTTATTCCCACAAATCTATTTTGCTACTGCAAATCTGAATACGCGGTTCCTAACGCTAAATGCTTCTGCTTTCTACTTAGCTATAAAGAAAGAACTAGACGAAGCTGAAAGAAGACATGAGAAAAATTTATTAAATGCTCAAGAATTAATAGCACAGTAAATGATTTTCATTGCTATTATTATTATTTGATATATAATATCTATTAATTCTTATCGAAGCTTCTGACTACACGATCACGTAATGCGTAAAATCTAGCAATCCAAAATGAGAAAATATTCTGTAATACAGTAGTATTATTGCGAAAATATATGAGATGAATTTACAAACCTATCTACAGTGTTTATCATGTCAGTGTTCAATCAAAGCAAGGTACTTCCTGAAGTTGACATGTAAAGGTTACTTACAGTACCATACGTAACAATTGACAGGTGTTTCGAAATTATGCCAGTAAGCAACATTGAGACGAGAACGAATGGTATCAAAATGTAAACGTATTGCAATAAAACAAACGTTTAACGAGTGTAGTAAGATTGATAATAATTGTCGCTAGTATTACTAATATACAGTTACATTATAAATATGTTGAATGTTACCTGTTTACATAAATACATAGTAATCCCACACAAAATCAGATTGGAACTGCACATTATATGCTCAATAGATATTATTATTGAACTGACTACTGAATATTAGTTAGACGGGCCAATATACAAACGTTCTTAGCTTTGTTCCTCTGTAGTACAAAAGGAACGTGACTAAGACACTTCACTATAGAATCAAGACCATATGCTCTCTAGATACGGTCGAAGATGAAACCAAGGTATTATACACGACCCTGAAAGAAAATAGATATCCTGAGAAATTTATAAATAAAAACAGCCAATAAACAGAGCATAAGGAATACCTAACTGTGAACAAATAGCCTCTGTATATACGCTTACAATTCAGAGGCGATGCACCAAATGAAACGCTGAAACTGAAGTTAAGCAGATCAATTGAAAGAACTTTTAGTGCAGGTAAACTACAATTAATGTTTTCCACATGTCCAATAATCCCTCCAAGGTTGAAAGATAAATGACCTAGACTAGCCACTTCTTTCTGTACCTATTAATTCAACTGCTTCTGTAGAGCAAGTTATATTGGCAGATGTTCTAGGAACTTGTATATTCGGGCCCGTGAGCACCTCTCAGTGTGGTTAAGCAAAGGTGTAGTTAAAACTGTTGACAACTCCATTTTAGCTCATTTAATTCAAACAGGACATACAGTTAACATGGAGCAATCTTTCGCAGTAATATGTCGTGTTAACAGCAGTCTACCTAATTACGTCAGACTGAGAATCCTGCAAGCGGCTGAAGCAATTGCTATTCGGATCAAAAAGCCAGAGCTTTGAATCCGAAAGGAATATGTTCAGCCACTCCTTTCACCCTGGCCGACATCGGGGCAAACGAGTTAATAATTAATTTTATAATATGGTGACGTAATTTGATTAATGTTCATTTTTATGTCCCAGACTTATTATTATCATCTTTATCATTGTTATTATTTTTATTACACTTGATAACTTTTTGAGGAATATAATCAGCATCCACCCCATTCTACTACATCTGACCTAATTCATTTTATTCTACATATTGCGTAATTTAAGATTTTTATTACATTATTTTCTCTCTCATCCCATGTTGACCATATTTGTGCTGACTATTTAGATTAGATGGTGGTTGGAGATAGTCAACAGGAAACCCTGGACCCGGGTTTCGTGCTACTTGGCACTCGTCAGCAAGGTGTACCTGTAATCTTGAGGGAACTGGTGCTCCCTGGCGGATTCGATCTCGTGTCACCCAGCTTCGGATAGCTCAGTGGTAACGTCTCAATATATAGTGCCCGCAGTGTCGAGTCACCTAGACTGGTGGCCACATTGCAACATGATCGGTAGTATTCGATGTGCACTAATAAGGACTAGACACGCATGACATTGATCACCACCGAGTGATCAATCAATTGTGATGCTGACTATTTATTTCACAATTTCATTTTGCTTATAAGCTGATTCAAGTTAACACATCATATTAGTCAACCCCAAGATTAACGATTTGATTTTATATAACAAACAATCCTTTATTCAAAAACATGGATTTTATGGATTATTAATTTGAAATATATATATATATATATATATATATATATATATATATATATATATATATATATATTTCGAATCATCATTTTCGTCTCATGCGATTATTTGGGTGTATTATACTACTAACTAATACACAATTATTTGAACGAATAATATTCTTTAAAGAGGAAGAATGTATTTGTAAAATCTCAGCGAAAGAATTTAAAGTAAATCAAACGTTTCGCCTGGCAATCTGGTCCAAGTTTTTTCAAGGAAACATATATATAGATACATTCTTACTCTTTAGTGGCTCACATTAACTCGGCGCCCAAATACTGTGAAACTATTCGATCAAATTTAGACGAAAGTTCTTATTTAGAAGAATATTCTTTTCAATAATTTCTCATCAGGTTCTACAATTATAAATCCAGATTAATAATCCATAAAACTCATGTTTTTGAATGAAGGATTGTTTGTTATATAAAATCAAATCGTTATTCTTGGAGTTGACTAATATGTTGTGTTAACTTGAATCAGTTTACAAGCGAAATGAAATTGTGGAATAAATAGTCAGCATAAATATGGTCAACATGGAAATTCATTAGCCCCACGGCAATTTTTTTAAAAAACCCCCTACCCACCCTTTTTAAAAATGTTTTTTCAACCCAAAATTGCAATATTCTTCATCCCGTTTCGTCCAATGAAATGGCTAGTTTTAAAATTCGTTTTAATTGGTTAGTTATGTTTTGTCGAATTGTTATAAAACATCAGAGCATGTCGACGAAGTACATTTTAATCATCATTATGGAGGAGAGTAACGTGCCGAGTACAAGTGCTGTTGTTTCTCACGTAACAGAAATGGAGGAAGTCTTTTTGACAACCTTGTTTCTCGTTGCGTTCTTATCGGTTGAAGCGTTGAAGTCCGCTATCACAAATTATGAAAGATCAACTTACTGTCATTATGTAGTTCGAAATTCGCATTTGTGCAGAGATGAAAACTCGTATATTAAATTTGTGTGCTGGAGAAATGGCCGTATAACATCTAGCGGTTCGTCACAGCTGATCAGACGGAGGAGGTAATTTTATAAATGTTATTAACATTTTTTGTCATGAAGGGCTTCCATGAACACTCAATGTCCGGCCTTCTTGTATTGTAAGATTATCGACGGCTACCGGACTGTTGTACGTGGGATTGTGCATCACAATCACGAGTGCAATTCCCTGAGGTACCAAGGTAATTCATGGATGCGCAGGTTAACGGAGGCCCAGCTTGAAAACGTGCGACCGCTGCTAATATCTGGTACTGCTTCATTCCACATTAAGAATTATGCTTACCATTCTTGCGGGAAACTACTGAATGATCAAGATATCTATAATATGCGGTACAAAGTATTCTCACAGGCGAACATTCCTGGCAAGCCATTTGCCACTTTATAATGTAAACTGTCTGAGGAACAATGCAGTTCACTTTATAGTCAATTTTATCAAGAACTTCACGGCAGACTACCACCAACGCCGTTGAACTTACAGGCAGAACCGCAGTTGTACACTGGAACAAGAACCTCGACTAACTTTACAATGCTGTTGATGCACCGAGGAAATGTTGATTTGGATGAAACGTTAAGTAACGACGAGGACGATTAAAGGCCCTTTTCAGGGCCACCAACAAATTGATTTAAATTCATTTTTCCAAATATTGTTTTTGTCTATGGCAAAGGTCAAGTGATTAAGCACTTTTTAATGTCGAATGCATTTAGATATACCTTAGATATGAATAATCGAAAAGCGATTATCGCTCATGTATTCGTAAACTTATTTCTAATGTATATTAGATATAAAGGTGAAGAAAACAGACAAGATTTTGTCATTTAATGAACACTGATCTAATACTTTTACATTTAAAATAATGTGATTACCGTTCATGTTTTAGTGACACATTTGTAAACTATCTAATAATAGTACATTTTGAGTACATTTTAATAGGAATATTTTAAAATAGTGAAAATCATAATTTTGTCGTTAGGTCAATAAATTTATGATGACATTTATTAGTGAATATAATAAGATGATTGCAAGGATGAATGTGATTAAAGCTCATAGAGAAGTAAACACAATGAAGAAAATTAACTTGGTTGGTTGATAAATTGGATTGATCAGGAAAATCATGCATAAATATAGGAACAAAAATCAAACCAATGGGAGACACAACCAAAATAAAGAAGTAAACAATGATAAATTTAAGGTCAACAAGAATCAATCAACATCGAGGTGCACAGAACAAGCTGTGAAACACATATGGAGAAATTCGAACACTTCACTTCTATCTGAAGTTTGTGCTGATGATGTCGTTCAGAAGAACGATGAAAGCTCCACGACCAAACCATCCAGCTCCGAGAACAAAACACCACCAAAATCATCCACCTGAGCTACAAATCTTCTCCACCATCTCAAAATTAATGAATTTGACAATGAAATGTGCTAACAATGGTGAACGTTTACATCTGTTACGACATATATATATACTTACAAATTGTATTATTTGCAAATTTGAAAGGTCATTCAATAAAGGTCTGGATTATTCGCAGTAAAGTGTTCAGTCACAATAAGCGACTAAGCATTATAGGAAAATTGAAATTGCAAAATATTTTGTGTCAATGAAATGCATAGTCTGAGAATTGAATCTTGTCAACTGACATAATAATAATAATGATCATAAGGAAAATAGATAATAATAACATTGTAAATGATCATTGATACAGTTGACCTTATTCATATTTCTACGTTTAAAGTCGATAGATATTTGTTGAGTCAGTCAGACGACGTAGGCTTGTTCATTTACACTTGATGAAATTAATATTTCAAATGCTTGTCAAAATGGTTACATTCATAATGTCTAGATAATTCAGGTTTCATATTACGGCGGTCAACAATATTCACACATGACTGATTAAACACACTAGTTCTTATTACGACCAAATAATTAATTTTAAAATACAGAACTACAAATAATTTACAAGTGAAAACAATAAACCGTTTCAATGGACTTTTAAAATTAACCGTATTGAAATATAACGTCTTCTAATTCTCATTAAGAATGAACATTTACAAAATAAACGTCCACTAAATATTAAGTGCCTATTTCGGAAAATTTATTACTACTTTCATGTACTGTCAAAGTCGGTTAATTAAATGATGGTCTACGGTTGCTTCACCTGAATTATACATATTTCAACCAGTAATTTACCATGATGAATTATTGATATGTTGATTTGTTTCTCCGATTAACAGACCATGTGTTACTAAAAAAACTTATGCACACACTTCGGTAATAATTTGTTTACTAATTGGGTATTCAGCATTAGACAACCGACCGAATTCAGTAATCACTATTATCAAATATTCAAACCGATTTTCAGTTCCCTTTTTCACTCAACTTTCTTTTTATGTGATATATATAAGTACTCGTGACATTAAATCACTTGATCGGAAATCAAAAAATTATCCCAATACACATTCACTAACAGTAGGATTGCACTTAAGTTGGTGTTCTTTTCTTAAAATGTCTAAATTTCTTACAAGACTAAGATTACACAAAAAGATTTATTCACTATCGTTAAATTTCAAATGTGAAAATCAAAATTCTGACATCCAATCACAGCTCCAGATGCGATTTCAATTTCAACTAATCAGATTACAAAGATGAACAGTTTACGACCAATTACAAAATGATTAAAGGTGACAAAATGTTTATTCATTATCACTTGAGCACACACTTGCAAAACGAGTACACCAATCACCGATCGCTAAATTTTTCTTTCACACCATACAATTTTTTAGAAATGGGTGGTAGGGAATCTTAATTGCCGTGGGCTTAATGTCAACCGTCAACATGGGGTGAGAGAGAAAATAATGTAATAAAATCATAAATTACGCAATATGTAGAATAATATGAATTAGGTCAGATGTAGTAGAATGGGGTGGATGCTGATCATATTCCTCAAAAAGGTTATCAAGTGTAATAATAATAATAACAATGATAATATATACGAAGGACTGACTATAGTTGTTTGGCTCTACCTAAAAACTCTTCGTCTGTTCAAGAACATAGCCTCTTCAGGGATAGAAATCAAAACCATTTAAATCTCCTGGCGAGTATGATATGATTTAGTCTCTTAATCGAAATACAATGATGAGTTCTATTTAAACTTACACTATCAACTAATGCTCCTTTTCTTTCCTGAACAAAATTATAACAAGACATCCTTTTTCATTCCCTAAGGTGGGTAGTTGTCTCTTGACACGGTTGGACTCTACTGGTAATAGCTTTTCATCATAAACTCCAGGAACCCCATCTCATGATGGAAGGTCCTGAGTTCATTCCATGGACGCGCGGTCGTACGTGCGCACTGTCAAAGAGATCAATATCAGGCTGAGACGGCTGTCCACTGATTCCTAATTTCCAGTGGTTGTTTCGCTAACATCAATTCGTGATTTAAGCTATGAGAATTATGCAATTTTTATCCCGTATTAACCCTGTTTTTGTTAATGTTGGTCATTATTTTATTCACAAGAATAAAAGAACATGATGAACAGAAAAAACGTCGTAAAGAACAAATATCAGCTGAAGGCGAAGCGTTGAGAAAGAATGCAACAATTGATTTATTAGAACGTGAGAAGCTCGATCAAATCTATCGTGATCAGATGAGAAAACTAGCAAAAGAATTTCAGGACCAAATTAATGGTCATATACAAATGAAAGAGATTGAAAAATTATATGATGAAGTGCGAAAATTCTATTGATCAACTGTTATGCTTTTTCACTAAATTTTGGATATATTACTTATAAATACATAATCTAGGTATAGACCGTACTGGAAAATCAAAAATGTGAGGATATAAGTAGTTCATAACCAGTGTCCTAAAGTAATCGCTAATGTGTCTTAATTGTAGTGATAGCACCAACGTTAGGGCCCAGGCACATTCAATTGGTAAATCGTGGATAAGACGATCACACTTCTCTAATAGCGTGTATATTTAATTTAAAACATAGAACTTATTTGCATAATTAAATAAAATCAAACTGCTTATCTCTTGTAGGAGTAGGTAGAAATCTTGTGTAGATGAAATTGAAACATGGAATCACTTCACGAAGTCACTAACCGTTGGTCTAAGCCGTGTAGGTAGGTGAAGAATAACATGATTAGTGTCAGCATGGCTGTATTAATGATTGAAAAAAACTAAGTGATATGATTTGGAATCGGGGTAGATGCGTTCAGTCATCGTCTTTGCTTTAGTTTTAAATTTTGAAATCGTCCTACACTTTTTATCTAATCAATGTATTCTTTGTTTTCCAATAATATTATTTATCCCTGACGCTTTTTACTACAACTGTGATATCTGCTACCTATCCTAACAGATAGTAGTAGTAGTTGTTGTAGTAGTAGTAGTAGTTGTTGTAGTAGTTGTAGTAGTAGTAGTAGTAGTACCAATCAAAAGTGTAACACCTGGGAGCAGAAGATTGCAGTGAAGAGAACAGGTAGAAAATATGAAAGGAAACGAAATAACAACATAATTAGAGAAACGACAGAGCATGTAAAGGACGAAGCAAAGATGTGCAATTGGTGTATTTAATGTGTAACTTCCATATTTAACCAAGCCACCGTGTGATATTGCATCAGATAATAAATTGGTTTTCCCCATCTGAGTTTTTGTTCACTATACAGCCGCCACCATTGATAGTGTTACTACATTTACTGCCCTAATATCTATTTATCTCAAAATACTGGCATGGTGAGGCAACGTTCACTAATGCACATGCGTGCTTATGACTAGTTGACTGATTGATTTGTCCGACTCTTTACAGTCTGTATTCGTTACAAAATTTGGAAACTAGTTAACATCCATTGTTTATAAATTGAATCTGATTTTTTAAATATTTCCGAATATCTAACAGTAGGAAAAATCTATCAAGACGCTTGATTACTTCGTTTAGAGACTGTATCACATTCTTTGATATATTCTGATCACCACGTAATAAACAAAAACTTCTGTTATCACGTAAACTTTGTCGTTTTAGTTAACAAGCTTCTCATAGGAAAAAAGAAATAGAGACTAGCAGAAGTGATTTGCAAGAGCAATGTAATGCATGCCCAATAAAAAGAGTCATCAATGATAGTATGTCAAATAGTTTTAAGAAGACGAGAAAATATATGATAATGTGAACACTAATGACTCCTATTACTTGGCGCCTCAAAGTACTGATTTATTTATTTATTTAAACACATAAACATTGGTACAAGGATGCACCAAATAGATATGCGCCACATAAGTCATTCAATTTGTGTGAGATCTGGGATACTGCTCGGGTGCCCAAACCGAAGCAGAGTACTGATTTCTAGTAAATCGTAAACCGTAATGGAACTCGTTCTCGAATTTTGAAGTTACCGAGATCAAAAATGCATAGATTTACTGATCGGTTCTATTACTAAACTGTGTAAAGAAGCAATCTATTAATAAATTTTGAGTCTAGGTGTATAAACTGTCAAAGGTATACTCCCCAAGCATTTATACAGAAAATTTTATACTTTACGTTACGAAATTGTGCTTTCATTCTAGCAGTTTATTCGCCAATGAATAAAGTGGTGCGTAATAGACTACTTCAGCCTGAACTAACGAGCCTATTTATAACGACTTTACTGTAAATAAAAATTTTTTACTGTACTATTTTTGAACTAAACGATGAAGCATGGTCGCATTCTTTTACCGGCTGATGCAGTTAATATTAAATACCCTAGGGGTGGTCGTCAAAACTTCTAACCCTGAGATTTAGACACTAGGTGTAGATATTTAAAGCCGACTGGAAGCTGGTTCATTTCATGACACTTAAACTAGGTTCACCTAATTTGGGATAATTTAATTCCTGCCATGAATTGGTTAAGGTACATACTATTCCCTCATTTAATTTTCTGAAAATTAACATTTTCCTACAGGAAGATTCTTTTTACTAAATGTTCCTCATCTTTAAAAAGGTCGAGGACATTTATCTGTTATCGTTTCATTTTTTTAAAATATTGCCTCTTGATCTATTCCCCAAACTATTACGAATGTCTTTCCACACACAAATAGAATAAGTCTGTTTTTTCTTATGAATAGATCTTTGAACTGAGGTTTATTTTTTTGTATTAGCCGGTAGCTATGATAGTGAATAGCAGTTTGTCCATATTCAGTATTCCAAAACGTCAACGTTAAAACTATTTCACTTATTTATTATCAATATACCACTCATCTAATTCACCCTAATTAAGACTTAACATATTTAGCCATTGTCTCTTTATCAAGTTTACTGCTATATTCAGTAAAACACGTTATTACCTAAAATTTACATGGAACGAAGAATACGCGTTTCTTTAGGGCTGAAAACATAATCTGATAATACGAACGAAACAGCTACGTAAAACCTAGTTCGGAACTTAGATTTTATCTATCATTTGTTTTGTTTTTTTAATTTACCAAGATAAATATTCTCGATGTTAGGCTCTGACACGTTCATACATATCTATACGAACCACTTCAACAAATGTATAATCAAAGAGTAAATCTTCCATATTTTGTTTATCTTTTCTCATTTCCAATTTTGTGTTTGTTTTTCACATTACATCTAAACGAAAATCAAAGGAAATTGAAGAACAATGTCGATTGTTTGCAGCAGCTAAGATCAAAATGACAAAAATGCGTATCATGAAGGAACGTGATATGTTTCAGTATGTGAATTCACACACTTCAAATTGCACTGAATTTATCATTAACCTGAATGCTTGTTATTTAATCATTATAAGTAGCTACTATTAAATAGTAGTAAGTAATTAGGAGTTGAAATATCGTCTGTTATTTATATATTAACATTAAACTGAAGGAACCACCGATAATCAAGAGGCACTGAGCAACTTTTTCGACCTATTTTGAGGCTGTATATCACTCTTACTCTACAACTGGGTTGGAAATGTAAACCATTAGATTCTAACCAATAATAATTTAAGTGATGAGCTCATCAATATGCTTAAAAGCTCCATGTTCAGTCTTTCAGGGGAATCGAAAGTCCAGATCTGTTGTTAATAATTATAAAGCGATCGATTTTTACGATATACATAATCAGAAAAAACGTCAGTCATTCAAGGTTTAGATTGGCATGGATTTATCGAACTGATAATGATAATAATTGTCTAGACTGGCACTAAAGTGTCCATTCATTCAATAATTCAATTTAGAAGAGTAAATCTAAAATTTTCAAAATGTCTCCCACTCCATAAAAAATCACAGTAAATACCTCTTTTTCATAAATATCAGACAAAAAGAAGCTGAACTACAAAAAATACAAGAATATTTATCAGAACGATTGAAAAATGCACAAACTAATGAAGAAGCTCGGTTAAACAGAGCAACAACAGAAAAAGAAGAAAAATACCAACGAGATACAAAAGAAAGATATGACAAACAACTGAAAATTATCCAAGAAATCAATGAATATAGAGTGGATGAAATAGAAAGACGTAGAAAACGATTAGAAGACGAGAAACAAATGGAATTATGTGAAATACGTGGAAGGATAGCGGCTGAATTGGCATTAACTGAATATGAAAATGCATGTAAGACAAAAAAACTGGAAGAACGAAAGCAATTATCACGACAGTTACTGCAGGAATCAGTAAGTTTGATTGTTGAACATGAGTTGATTGTACAGTTAGGTATAAGAGTCATTTCTTGCAGACGCCCGCTATAGTATACATAAAGCAACCCATCGACATTTAGAAGGTTATTTGTGCACTTTTTTTCTATTTCAGCATTTAATCAACTTTTGTCAGGATATAGGCTTCTTAAGAGAATGCATAGATATTGCCTGTATTTACAGTGTGAACAACAACACTAAGGTGTTGGTGTCGGTTATATTGCTTGTTTACTAGTAATATTTAACATCGATTTCAGTTCCCAATCGTAGTACTGAACACTTGGTCTGAGTAATTCATTAAAAAATCACTTTTTTCATACTGAGGTTATCCGTGCATATTTTGTTCAAAAACCAAGAATACTAATAGAAGTAAAAATTTTAAACTACTTAATGATTTAATATTTTGGAATAAACACCAAAACTTATAACACGCTGTATTAATAACTCATACTACTTATTTTCAAGGTTTGAATAATTTTTTCTGGTTAGCGTATTTTTAGCGAGTTAGTTTTCTACGGGTTGGGGACGCTAACCCCATGCCCAACCCTCCTCCTTTATCCGGGCTTGGGACCGGCAGTAGCCCCCGGAGGGACTCCAGGCGGAGTTTATTTTTCAAAGTAAGTAGTAACATAATGTTATCAATTAATTATACATTAATGTTTACTCATTATGAAATGCGACACAGATGGTAAAACGAGTACTAGCCAAGAAAGAACGCAAAGCAGAAATTGAAGCGATAACCAATGAAAATAAACTGATTCAAATGGAAGAAAAAATTTTTCAAGATTACGCAACTAGAGTAAGTTTGTTACAAAGAACAAAGAAGCAGACCCTTGTTATTTTACTTAATAACAACACTTGTTCTGATTATAGCTTTCACATAGACTCTGGGGTCATCATTATCGTGTTTACAGTTCTAGTAAAATATCTGTAGGACAAATTAAGTCCTACACATAATGTTAGACAAAAGTAAGCATCTATTCATAAACTCTGAAACGTATTAGAGGTACGAGGGCGGTGGTCAGCATCCGGTAGCCCACATCATAAAATAATAATTCTTCCCAATCTGTATAGAAGTTGAACTACTTGTAGTCTCGATGACCTTGAGATTGTGAATACACTGCTCTATGGGAAACTGCATGAAGCCAACCGCACACGTCTCTTTAGAATTAGTAGCCTCTGTAATTTTTAGATAATATGTCCAGAGGTGAAAACCCACAGGTCATCTGACGTTTCGAAATGCTGATTACAATCGGCGTACAAACTCAAACAAGTAATTTAAACATTCCTTCTTCTTAAAATATAATTGACCCCGTGAATTTAAATATTTTTAGAAAGTACTTATAATTTATCAATCTAGGATAGTTTTTTCTGTAAGTATATTATTTTATGGTCAACTTATTTTAGATTCTCTAATCTACCATTGTAGATATGAAGTTGATATGTGTAAATTAGGAGTCTTTGTTTATGCAAATCGTGAATTAGCAAACCACTAGACAACCAATCTGGTAGCAATTTATAGACTTGGTAACTAGATTAATTTTACTGATAAAATCTTCATTTAATTCATCAGGCGTATTTTATCCGAATACCTTGTAAATAAGAGATAAACGTTATCTTCATCACTCCAACCCTTCACATACCTCTTTACAATGTAGTCAAAAACATAAATAATGAACGCCCGGATGAATGATAATTAGGGTAGTCAGAAAATACCCATAGTCCAACTATTAATTCTTTCAGAATGGGTTTTGTGGCGATTTTAGAAATTTCACAGATTGAAATCATGAGTCAATTGAAGCTAGACCACCATTGAAAACCTGGAAGCACTGGACGGCCGTTTCGTCCTAGTATGGGACTCCTCAGCAGTGCGCATCCACGATCTTTACTTATTGTTTTCACCTAATGAGTAAGCTAACGCAGAATATGGTAATGATCGAACATTAAAAAGCTTTAAACAATGTCATAAGCTGGGTGAACAAAGATATATCATGTGCCTGTGTTGACATTTCATCTTTAAGTCAAACGATAAGTGATGAATTGTAAAAACAAGACACACGACTAGAAGAAGTCGATCAAACACCTAATGAAGACATAAGTATATATGCCCTGGTCTGGATTGGAAGGACAATAGTGCATATATAGCTGTGGTTTGTATACATTATAATTCGGTTTAGTAATTAAACTTTAGTGCTCATGTCATTCATCTCATCTGCGTAATAGGTTCGCTATACCGTAGGAGATGCAATTATAACAGTCGGACTACAAAAGCTTATCGACTTAGAATACGCAGATGACATAGTCCTGTTTGGTGAAGACGCTGACAAAATGCAGAGTCTTCTGGTAGCACTGAGCAACAATGCCAGGATGTTTGGAATGCGCTTTTCTCCCTCTAAATGCAAGTTGTTGCTTCAGGACTGGTCTGCGTTAACACCTGAACTAAGGATAGGGAGTGAAGTAGTCGAACGCGTTGACAACTTCACTTATCTTGGAAGTCTGATCAGCCCTAATGGGTTGGTATCGGACGAAATCTCAGCACGGATTCGAAAAGCTCGATTGGCTTTTGCCAACTTGCGCCACCTATGGCGAAGGCGAGATATCCGTCTATCAATAAAAGGACGAGTATACTGCGCGGCAGTCCGTTCTGTTTTAATTTACGGCAGCGAAACATGCCCATTAAGAGTAGAAGACACTCGTAAGCTATTAGTATTTGACCACAGATGCCTTAGAAATATTGCTGGCGTCTGCTGGGATCACCGGGTAAGTAATAGTGAGGTTAGACGCAGGGTATTAGAGAATGATGGTAAATCAGTTGATGAGGTTATGAATCTTCATCGACTGAGATGGTTGGGCCACGTGTTACGTATGCCTGAACACCGATTACCACGACGTGCAATGCTATCCGGTATTGGAAATGGTTGGAAGAAAGTTAGGGGCGGCCAAACCAAAACGTGGCATCAGTGCTTGAAGTCACTAACTTCTAGTCTGAGCCATGTTGGTAGATGCAGACTACTTGGTTGGGGTCCGCGTGACTATCGTAAGCAATGGTTGGAGACTCTTGGTGACATGGCTCGGAATCGATCACAATGGCGTCGGTGTATACACTCCCTGTCTTCCCTTAAACTAAGAGATTAAAATCGCTTCATATCTTTCTTTCTACGAACCAATTCTTTCTTCTTGTACTATATCTCTATATGCAATCTTTCTCTTACATATTACTACCTTTGACCTAACCACTGCTATGAATCCGGTGTTCATCTTGTTGTGCTGATGCGGTATGGCAACCTGGACTGATGCACATATGTGCCTGGTCCTACGTTGTAGCTGACTGACTGACTACAAAAAACAACACTTAGCATTTTATTGATCTGTTTAATTTCCAACAACACAAACTCTAGGTAATTAATCATTGTAAAGCGAACGGTCGAAATGTTTATCCATTGGAAAAAGCAACCCATACAGGATCAATGACTGGTCTAGGCACCGGTTTACCAAGTTTAGTGACCATTAATATGAATCATCCAACTGATGATCAACACAACAGTGATCAATCTACGAATACGAATGATCAACGTTACAATAAAGAAGTGCGCAACAATGCTATGTTAAATGGAAACTTGACAAATAAAAAAATTAATACTAACAAGCGTTTAGGATTTGTTTGGTGAATATGTATCTATGTCTTTTATGAATTTATATTAATCTCTTGAAAATATGTACTCCTTTACAAAGTTATATTTATTTGTTGGTTAAAGTAAAGATAAGTATATCTGATACTTTTTCACTTTAAATGAACAAACGATGAGACTGGTTAGATTTTACATTTGAGAATCGAATTTGGGTGACATTCATAGTGATCAGAATACTTGGCTTCTAACTAGCAGGTTGTATATGCAAGCCCCGCCACACTTAAATAGGTTTTGGCAAATGGAGAATACTATTGATCCCTACAAAGAATGTGTTTGTGCCTCAAGGCCGAGATTATATAAATCTGCTTTGATGGAGTTAGCTAATCAGAAGTAGCCAAAGTGGAAGGTTACTTGCTGTTATAACTTGTGGTTTGTAACCTTGGTTCTTTGTTTTTCACCCCGTCGTCAATTGTTATAACGCTCGATTTTACTTCGTCTAATGTTATAACGGTTGGGTTTCCACGTTTACATGTATGGGACGTTAATTTACCTTAAACGATTATCTACACTAGATTCCCTCCCAGTGTCTATTCTACAGGACGTCAATACAACTCAGATCAATAATACGTGATTATTCTGACCACAACGTAAATATATTCCCCCCCAAAACCCCATACAACCCAACAACAATCAACAATGATTCACAATAATAATAAGTATAGGGGAATATATAACTCATCTGACACCTGTCAGACCATCTACATATGTCTGACTAAGCAGACAACCAATCATTATCGTTCTCGCCCATACATCACTTGCTGACAGTCTGAAGTGGCCGGAAGGACAACTACATATCATTGCCAAGGAAATGAATCCATTTTCTAAGGAGTAGAAATGTATTTATATAAACGTGTATTTATTCATATTATTCAGTAGTTCAATAGACTTTTTCTCCCACTCGTCGATTTGAGGGGTTAGCGCGTAACAGGTTGTGTATCAGTTTCAGATCTCGGATATCGCCCAGCACAACACTAATAAAGGGACGCCATCATTAGCAATTACAAAGATAAGGGGAACCCATTTTGTACGATAACACACCTGAGTTCATTGTTCTGGTTCAGTCATCAATGGATTGGCCAACCAGTTATTCAAAATAAGGAGACTAAGAATGTGTAGAAAGCTTTACTTTGCAGGTCAAATGAATATTGGTCTTCTGAAGACAAAGATACCTGGGCAGTGAAAAGTCCGTCAACTCATAGTAACTCCGCTAACATTTGCACCAAGCACTTATCTTGTTTTTAGAACAGTATTTGGTCTATCCTGTTTGGTAGCAATATTTTATCCGCTTGAACTGTACCAGAATACTAAAGTCACCATTTTTCATTGAAAAAAAAACACTAACTAGGCTTATGATTCATCAGTTTGTTGACTGTAATGATGCCGTTTATGAAGGTCAGATTCAGTCCTTTACATTACATCCATTTAGACAACAAAATGATCCTGAATTAGGATACAATACTAGTGAGAAGACCATTATTGTTGTAGTCACATAATCAACAGGTTGAGTGGATTCCCAGTCTCCAAAAACTATCAATAATGCGCAACAGAGAGAGTATTCAGACATATATTATTACTCCTTAGACTCTCAACTCAAGTGAGTAGAGAAGTGAGCCACCAGATCATAACGACACTCAGTTTACAATTCTTAACGGGTACACTACATACTATGTTGATTTTATAGGATTTGTAATTAACTGGACTTTATGAATGGTTAAAGATATAACACAATAAACAAGCAGGCGTCTAATAGCACAGATTCTGCTTCCATTAATTTGATACCACGTGACAACTATTTAATCTCATTGGTGGCAACTGTCCCACTTCCAACATGTTTGGACCCATCAGTCAAAAGCATCTTGAAGTAAGCCATGATTAACTTGGCTATCATAGTTTAGTTGAAAGACTTCTGTAAAGATTGGCTTGTTTTGTAGGTTTTTCTTCGTCACAAAGTGACCTCACTCAGGGTATCATTGGAAACCAGCACCTGATGAGGTCGTAGGTGCCCATTACTGAGCAGTCACATACTAGAATGGGATAGCTATCCATCGCTCTCTGGTTTTCAATGATACACTGATTGAGATCAAGCTGTGATGAATGCAACTTATAGGACCAAAACTCACCAGCAAATAGATAACCCAGTTTCGTATTCCTCTTGACTTTTTCTAACAATTTCCACTTTTTGTATGGCTACTTATGCGTGAACAGGATAAAAATAATTACAAATCATAACTGTCACGCTTATCACATTACTCTAAACAGACTTGTACCCCCCAATAGATCTGTGGCTCCCAGTGAAATTTATCAATATTTTTACACTAGATATTATGTATTGATTTAACTCAGTATGCTATCATTTCTTGGATACTAGATGAGCTATTTCTGAAGAGTACTATAAATATAATTAGCTATAAACCACAATTTCCTAATATGGTGTCTAGTGATAATGTCCAAACCGAATCAGCCGGGATGGGGTTCAAACCTAGTACCCAATAGTTGGAAGTTGATCACTTTAACCATTAAGCCACAGCGATTAATACAAAAAAAATTTGATACCGTGTATAATAAACCCGATAATATATAAATCAACAATTATCCGTACTGAAATTTCGATAACCTGTAATATATACACGTAAATCGTATGTAGAACGGACACCGATGAAATCGAACCCCTGTTTTGGCTTCATACTTGGAGAAAACCGTCAATAAAATCTATGTATCTATCTATCTAAAGAACCAGTGGAGTAATGGATATATAAATCAATAAGATCTGATTAACGCTATCCGATATAACTGAACTATAAGGGCAAAGTTGAGCAACGGCTTTGTGTGACCTTGAACCGTTATGACCCATTCGACCAATCAGGAAACAGACAACATAAATGAATGTTTTATGATGTCAGAGCTGGGATCTAGGGATTAGCGTATAGAATTAAACATTTGAGACCGCGATTAAACTTATAAAGCAAAAGAAAAAAAGCAATGGTCTCAACAGTAAATTTGTATTTGATCTAGTACATATTTAACTACAATTCAAATTATCAGTCCTTCAAAAATAAAAAGTGCTTCCAAGCTTCCACCGCCAGCACAACTTAAGAGTAACGATTTCGCACTTTACGCCTCAAATCTTTATCGCAATCAGCAACATGAGCATAAAACTCATTCACATCCGGATCACACCATAAACCTCGAGGATTATGATAAACTGGGTAGTCAAACCAATGACCAATTTTCCAGCCTGCAACATCACCCATTAAATTCTGTTCGTATTCGCGATTTTTTCGTAATTGTTTCAAGTATAATCGTTCTTGTTCAGCTATAATGAAAGGAGCAAGGGCGATTCGACATTCTTCGTCTTCTCTATTAATTTTAGCTTGTTTTCCTTTCATATGTTTGAGAACTTTAAAGCCCACATATGTTGAAGTATACAATGCGCCAAGTGTTATAAGACCTTATTAATTATAGAGATGCATCCATAAAAAGGTTGGTTTAGTGGTTTACTATGAAAAAAGGGTGTTTAAAAAGGGCTAAAATAATTTGCAATATGAATATGTATTCCTTTATTGAAGCAGGAAGCAGCTAGGAACAGTGAACTATACAGCATGCTAAAATAATTGTGATACAAAATCGAGGGTTATATATATATACATTTGTATTGAAGATGGTGAGAGCTATGTAATTTGACAGATTGGATCAGTCAGAAATCGGCAAAATGATAAATGCACGTGGTTGACTAGGAAATGGCTTTCAACTTGTAAGTTGCTTTAACAACCATACTGAAGTATAACAACTGTGAGTTGTTCCTTTTAGATAACCAGGATTTGTAACAATGATACCCTCCCATAATGAAAAGAGTAGATGAAAGAAGTTTAATTCTAAGAATACCACACTACATCCTGTTCTATAGATTCTCACCGCCGGCTGTAATATTTGAAAGTACAGAATCAGAAACTGCTTTTATGAAGGATGTGTGCACTGGCCTGAAATAGTTGTCCCTTGCTCAATCTAGTCATTTTCACAGGTCATCAAAATTATACCTAACGCAGTTGCATTTTTCAGGTCCTTCAAAAATAATACTCTGTTAGACAAATATGCTCATTAATACAAAGTATGGTGCGATAGTCCACAGACATAAAGTGATGTTAAGTATAATAGTTTTGTATAGTTTAGACAGGACTTTGGTAAGATCTATCATGTACGACTTGTCGAATAATCTAGGTTTGGTTTGAAAATTCTGTTTAGGATGGGATTAAAGGTACAGCAAAGATAAGTAAGATGGTTTATAAGTCTCTTAAGTTTTACGCATTATCCAAATTATTTTAAATGTTAATACTTAGGAAATAGATTTGGTAAAATTAACATGATACTAATTAGTCATAGTGACTACTAATCGTTGCTTCAAATTAGTGAGAAGGATTTACGAATTATTATTACGGATGATTAAAACAGATCGGGATCTTAGAAGATAGTTGCAGTCCGAGTTTTGTGAAAGCTTTAAAGAGAATAGGCTGGTGATATTACGAGCCACTAAACTAAGAAATATTAAATACTGAATTCTAAAGGCATCCATGCTTAGCAACATTAGTACATTTTAACCTGTACTAAGTATTTGGTAACCAGACTTATATTCTTTCTTGACTAAACTTCATATAAACTTGTTATATATTTTCCTTTTCTTATTGTACGACAAAAGAACCCTTAACATTGATATTTTGCACCTTTAATATGGAGAAAATGCTTGTTTTGTTGCACCTAGGTGTATAGGAATAGTATGCATTTTGGATCACCAAAGTGTAAAGTACATCTATAAAACTATCAAAACCCTGCGGTTGTCCTATATTCATCTGGAGAAGTGAGCCCATGAAAACAGTTGAATTCATGTATATAGATATCTGCATGAACTATAGCGGTGTAACGTATGAGATTATATTTCATATAGCAGAACTTAGAATGACATTTTAATCTCTACTACCTTTGACACTGTTGTGATGTTAATCTGACTATAAAAACTGGATGCAAGATGCTGTGTAAAGAGCTTTGATTTACGCTAATAAAATTTGGTCTTTCTGAGTTAGGCATATTAAATACTGTGTTTTTAATAATCTATTCTCAGGTAATCCATTATTTTCTGTGTTAACACTGTGTAACTAATCCGGAATCTTTGAAATGTGTTTAAAGATAACTAAAATCATGATCCAATATGTTAATAAATTGAAATACCACATCCAGTTGACTACATGTATTTTATGTATCTTTCCAGGCGTCCTTATAATGAGTTTTATTTACTGACATTCGGACTGTGGAAAAAAATCATGGGTGATCAGTTTAGATCATGGCATCATGAGATGAACGATTCATGCTCTAGCTTGGCACTCATGAATTTCTTGAAACTTGATATGACGTCTAAAATACTATACAACTTAGCAACTTCAAATATTATCAATCGTATCCTAAATTAAAAGGTGGTGACGGTCAAGATGGATGTTTTACAGTGCAATTCAGGTCAACAGTAAGACGTAACTTCTAAATGAAAAAAACCTACCGTAATTACATTCTTATTTGTATTATTTGGCAGAGATTATTCTCCTCATTTATTTTTCACCCATAATTTCCCCTATGATCCCCTTACAATATTGTCATTTTACTTTATATTGCACTTCCTTCGAATTCTGTTGCACCAAGCATTTTCATTTCAAATAAAATAAGTCTGGTGACGCCTGAGAAGCCCAAAAAGAGTTTAAGAGTTAGTTGATTCAATGTTGGATCGAACTTTTTTCTTGTTACAGAGTAGTCTACCAGTGATATTGGCCTCTCTAAGACATCCACCAAAATATATTGAGCTCGTTGAGACACTACAAAAGTCAATAAGCCAGTTGATCGGATACTATCAAGGCTAGAGACAGCTGGCAAGTGTTAACAATCAGAATGAGCATATGAAATGCGAATTTCGTTGTAAAGAAGCACACAGAATAACAGTAAAGATGTCGAAGTGGAATATAATGTGTTTTCTCCAACACATTATTCCCAACTTTACTTGCCTGCTGTAAAAGTATATATCACATGCTAGCCAGTAAATTCATTGGTTGTGGAAAAAATCAGGTGAAAGAAACAAAAATTAGTACACCAAAAATGGCATACCGTGTACATAGCCTTTTGGCATTTTTCTTGAGACATCAATTGGAACGAAACCTCCGGGAGGAGGCATTTCTTGTTTGTAACCAGGCATTATCTGGAAAGAAAAGTTAATATGTTAATTAACACCAAACGATGATACAAGCCCAATTATTGATCATAATGTAATAAATGAATGGCGTATCAGAAAAAGATTATAGATGTAACAACAGTGAACGATATATTAGATGCATAGTATCTGCAGACAGTAGGTTATTTATGTGGTTATACCGTTACTGTCGTACTGTTTATATTTTGAAACGGGAAACACTAAAATTTCCATGACGCAGTGACAACACGGAAGATTTGTACAAACTAAGACTTATCGACAATCTAAAAGCACATTTCCAAAACATAATGTCTTTAAACCCAAAATACACTCATTCATACATTGATTTTACATACACTTACTGATTAGCTAATAAATATTACATATAAGAATACACATTTATTATAAAAACATATATGTAGCTCATATTGAATCAATACAACGAATAAAATAGTCACGTTGGACCAATTTCATAATGAGTTGATGCAAAAATAGTAAGCAAAGTAATACCACCTTTTTATCCCGTCATAACAGTTTTTAAGTGTACATAGAATGAAAATACTTGCTAGTTGTACGAATGAGAACCTCACAGTGTGATACTGTGGTTTTCTTATGAGGCCAAACCCCGAGCCTTCGATCTAAAAGTCTAGTCCACAAGGAAGTGGACCAACGTAAGGAGATACAGTCCCCTGGTAGCCGGTGACCAACAATAGGTTCATACGCCATTTGTTCCCCCAGAATCCTGACTCGTGTGTACCACTGGTTTGTAATCAGGGTTTTCCAACTCCCCTCAGCGGATCCTCCATATCCACTAACCCAGTTAGAGCACCGGACATTCGCTTTTCATCCTCTTAGTTTCGTAAACAACACCGCCACGAGAATGCAGTGAGTAGGACTTCCCTGACAGTGGCTGTATACGCGTGGCCATGTGAGAGCATTTCGAGAGGGAGAGCGGACTGTCCACACTTTTGGTAGCAACAGACTATTCAGGAGCGGTAAATGCTTTGTCACAAAGTAGGATAAAACCTACTACACACTAGAAGAATATATACATAGGTTATCTAGCTAAGCTCCAAAAGATGATCCACACTCAACAGTCTCCGAGCCGGAATTTAATTTGGTACTTGAGAGTACCTTTACTCTACACTCGAATTCATTCATAATTTGCGATATTTCAAGTGGCAGCAAGTATTTAAAAGTTCTACAAATCTAACGATTCTGAGGTCTTGTACATCAATAAGACGACCTATCACCCAACTACAAATCGTCTTCCAAAGAGATCTCAATAGCTCAAAAACCTGCTATTAAACAACTGATACTAATAGGCAACTGATTTACAACAAAAGACAGCATTGGTGTTACAGCAGAGTAGCTGGTTTATGTATGGATATGGTACAGACGGTTAGTGTGGATGAAGATCTGAATTAGATTTCCGCATTCAAGTCACCTAATATAATTACTATGTCAATTGGAAAGTATATTTTCAGCACATTCCAAACAAACTAGCAAGCACTTAGTTTCAGAAAACTTCGCTTTGCTCGCATTGACTCAGTTCTTAAACTATATGAACGACCGTCTTAAGTATTTGATGGTGCTAAGTTTTTAACTGTTAAAACGTTTGGTAAGAATGAGACCATCTCAAAAAGTCGCTTGAAGCTAGCATCTTCCAAACCAATGGTACACAGAGTAGTCAGGATTCTGAGGGAACAAATGGCGTATGAACCTATTGTTGGTCACCTGCTACCAGGAGGCTGTACCTCTTTATGTTGGTCTACTGCCTTGTGGATTAGACTTTTAGATCGAAGGCTCGGGGTTTGGCCTCAGTCTTCAGTAATAAGGATAGTAGGTTGATGAACCTGTGTTAATCCTAACACATTGCTTTCCAGTGAAGGTCCAGCTTCTCCTTGAAAGTATTCACTGATGGGGCTGATACCACTTGTTCGGGTAAGGTGTTCCAATGATTGACTACTCGATGAGAAAAACGGGACCCCACTTTAAGTTTATTAGATCGTAGTTTATGAACCTTCTTCCTATGACCTCGGAGATTATTAGTGCTGGAGGGAGCAAAAAGATAAGACATATTAACACCCAAATCATAATTAAAGATACGAAATGCCAGTATAAGGTCACCTCGTGTCCTACGATACGACAAAGGGAAAAGGTTTAGGCGTTTTAAACGCTCATCGTAAGGGAGTCTAGAAAGACCCTTCATACGCTCAAGGGAGTTAGTATCCTTTACCAGACACGGGCTAGCTGCTTGGATACAGTACTCTAAATGTGGCCTAACATATATGGGATATAAAATTCGAAACGTTTCCTTGTCAAAAGATTTGAACGCTCGGCGAAGTGACCATAACGCACGAAAACCTTTGACAGAGGCTGCTTTGCAATCCGTAGTTGTTTTTAAATCATGACTTAATACTACTCCTAAGTCTTTATGCTCTTGAACGCATGGAAGAGGTTTACCCTCAATAGTGTAACGGTAACTATTACCGTGACCGATGTGCACTAGTACACTCTTCCTAGCATTGATTTCTAAGCCCCACTCTCGAGCCCATCTAACTAAATCGTCTAAGTCAGCTTGAAGATCCACATGATCAGCCGCACTTTTTATTGTTCTCCAGATTTTTACATCATCCGCAAACAATAATGTTGACGACCTAAGTAACAGCGGTAACTCATTAACGTAGAGAAGGAAGAGCAGACGGCCTAAGATGGTGCCTTGGGGTACACCACTTTTGACCGGCTTCCAATCGGATAGCGTTCCGTTGACCCTCACTCTCTGTCTGCGGTCACATAAGAAATTTCCTATCCACTCATGTACAGTACCTATTATTCCGAAGCTCGTGAGCTTCTGCATAAGACCTACGTGTGAAACCTTGTCAAACGCTTTGCTAAAATCTATGAATATCACATCGACAGACAGACCGTTATCTAGGGCTGCTGTCCAATCCTCCCTTGCAATGAGCAAGTTAGTCAAGCATGAACGCTTGTTACGAAATCCGTGTTGCTCAGGAGCTAACAGATTGTGTAAATCTATGTGGCTTAGCAACCTAACCCGAATTATCTTTTCAAGTAACTTAACGACTATGCTAGTTAGACTGACAGGCCGGTAGTTAGATACTATCTGTCTCTGACCGTCCTTAAATATAAGACTGGCTATAGCGTCCTTTCAATCTCTAGGGAGTTGAGCGAGTGAGAGGGACATGTTGAAGAGTGTCGCAAGCGGTTTTGAAATAATGTCCGCAAGAGATGACAGCAACCGTGGATGTAACCCGTCAGGGCCCGGTATCTTACCAGGTTTGAGGTTAGTTATCAACAGAAGGATAGTTTCCTCAGTCACCTGTACAGATTCAATGGTTGGTATCTCGGAGTGAGTGGGACAAGTATTTGTTACAATAAACGTAGAGAAGACTTCGCTAAAATAGTCTGAAAAAGTCTCAGCTAGTAATTCTGAATTTTCGTGTAACAGTAACGGGGGAATACCATCACTACGTTTCATTTGCCGTTTAACATACGAAAACAATCGTTTCGGACAAGTACGGCTATCATATACTAACTGTCGTTCGTAAGTGGTACGGGATTTCGCTATGGTTTTCTTACAGATATTGCGGAATTTTCGGTACTCACGCTTAAATGGTGCATGACCTGTCAACAAGAATAAGTCCCAGAAATGTTTCCTACGCTTTAACAGCTTCCGGGTTTCCTTATTAATCCATGGAGGGCAATGTGATAGCTTACGTGCTGACCATGGGATAAACGGCGACGTTACGGACTCGAATGTAGCCTTAAACTTATTCCATTCATCTTCGATCAATCCATCCGCGTCGACCGACCAATCAGTCGAGATAGCACAGTATCTGATTTCCGGAATATTAGCTCGCCAGATATTGGGACGGGGTGGAGCAGATACAAATCGTATACCATGTGTCCTAAACTTAAAGTGAATTACAACTTGATCACTGTTCACTAGTGGGGGAAGGTGCTGGATATCAAAGGCATCCTCACAGTGGTGAGTGAGGGCGAGGTCCAGCAGTGACGGATCATGTTGCAAATCAATATGTGTCGGTTTTGTGATACATTGTACAAGTGCACACTGAATAACGGTAGATAAAAGGTCGCTATCGAAACCACTACCTGGAGCTGTAAGCTCTATCCAGTTGATATGTGGTGCGTTGAAGTCCCCAATGATGAAACAACATTCTGCCATACTCCAAGAACAGATGTGTCTTAGGATAAAATCGTCAGCAAGACAAGACGGACTACGGTATCTTCCCCCTATAGTCACTAACCCATTTCTAGATTTAATCTTACAACATGCAACCTCACATGTGCCACTGATAAGAGCCCCCGATATGGTTGATTGTATAAGAAAGTGGTCCCTAACGTATAGTATTATACCTCCCCCTTTGCGACTTGAAACTCTATCACTTCTGATACAGATATAACCAGCAATGAAAGAACAGTCTATATCAACGGTGGACCAAGTTTCTGTAACAACGATTATATCGGGACATAATTCTTCCACCATCAGAATTAGCTCAGATGTTTTATTTCTAAGACTACGAGCGTTCGTGTAGCACACACTTAAGGTGTTTTGGAAATCAATCGTTCTACCCATACAGGCATCGGAAGCATTGGCTTCCAAGACCTGACTACCTGAAAACCCTTAATGGTAAGGTTATTTTCGCCATTTAATTTGCGAGTCCTCAACTCCGTAAGAGCATTCTTCCACTTGATTTGATCCTCAAGTGGCCAATCTGGTCGAATACGGATATTTGAGGCACGAGTTTTTAGTGTGCTTTTCAATAATATGTCTCTTTCTTCAAAACTCCCGAGAACCAGCTTCAGGTTACTTCTTGGTTGGGTCTCGCCTCCAACCCATTTACCAAGTCGTATTACTTTTGTAATATGTACCCCTGAAACCTATTCAGGTAGTACATTCCTTACCACAGACTCCACTAACTGCAGGTCATGTGCATGTCTTCTAGCAGGGTCGTTGTCTTTCGACTCCTCTAGATTCCAAATAATTAAACTAGGGAGGGGTTTAGCTTCTTTTGAAACTGTGTTCACAGCTTTCGACCGTGACGTTAGATCCTGTATTTTAACTACTGGTGTCTTAAGATTAGTTTTTATTGTAACAGAGTCCTGGGAGTCCAGCGAGTGACTCAACAATGTTAGAAGAAGCTTTACTATGGGACTTTGGCGGAGTGGTCTGAGAGTCCACCAAGGACTTATCAAGTAAACGGTCATTAGTTTTAGCTGTCTTTCCTAATCTTCTGCGTTTCCGTGTCATCCATATTCCATCAGTCGTAGCATCCACATTAGAACCACTCGGGACAGTAATTGTTTTATCTGGGTCACCGGTCGCTGCTGTAGCAACATGGCCACCAATATCTAATGAGGTGTCACTCATTGATTGTTTCGGGGTAGACGGTTTAATAGCGGGTTGCACAGTTAGATGTCTGGCTTGCGTCGTGACAGCACTCACGACACTAACGCAATCTTCGCCATCAGTACCAATGTTGCCAGTACAGCCCTCATCAACCTTCTTATTAGCCAACACCAGGAGACTAATTGCTTCCTGGATAAGCAATGTTTTGCTCGAGCAACAAAAACTACAAAGTCAATGAGAGTTGGGCTTTGAGCACCTTTTACATGCAGTGGGGCTTAATCGGGTGCACATCTTATGGAACCACTTATTACACTCATTACATTGCATCCCTTCATCCACGGGAAATAAGCAGTATGGTTGTCCACATTTATAAGTAGACCTAGCCATCTTGGAAATCAACTAGAGCGGTGACAAAAACAGGATATGCAAAAGGATTTTCAAACCTTAACTAAATAAATCAAGTAAAAGTCGACTAAGTATGCTTAGATGCAATAAATACACAAAAGCAAAATCGAAAAACTCAATACAATATCACTTTAACTGGGGTAGATGGAATTAAAGTGTAAACAGTAGTTTTGATGCGTAATTTACGATCAAAACAGTTAATTAACTCAACGAGAAAGAATACCACTGTCATAAGAAAACCACTTGCTTCGGTCTGGGCACCCGGACAGTATCATGGCCCGAACACAAATCCAACGATTTATGTAGAGCATATTTACTTGGTGCCTCCTTGTACTAATATTTATGTGTTTGAACAAATAAGTAGCTGTACGGCGCAACTTATTAGACTAATAAATATCCCCAAATGCTTTGTACAGTTAAGTTACTGTTTCTGCTAGTTATTGTAAAAGTATTATGCAATGAACGCCAACCACTTGTATTAGACACTATTTGTTATATATGTATTCATATACATTTTAGAAAAATAATATCATACCAAATAAAAATATTGATTTATTAAATTACTGATGAGTGGAAGGACTTTACACTCAGGGTCCCATCAAGCCAGAAAAAATCGTAAAAAGTGTTAGACTGAAGTTATATGTCTTAAATTTGGTTTTGTCAACAAGAAAAAAGTCTGTGTAAGGTCTGATTACAGCAATCCAACCAAACGACCCTGAAATCAGACGTCCCTCCTATAATTGAAGACCTTAAATTGACCGTACCTATGTGGTACCCTAGTATAACTAGGGTATTGTTTTTAGCCCATACCTAGATATAGAGAAACTGTTATGAACCTTTGATTGCCCTGTTGAGGTTGACAGATCAGTCAGCAAAAATATTGTCTGGTTGTTTCGCGATTACTTGGAAATTAACATTGTAGCGGTAAATAAATCCCCAAAATAAATGGCACTGTAAGTTTTCGACATTGGATGCTGACCATATGTTTTAGTGGACTCATCTAGCTGAAGGCGCTCGGTCAGGCATCCACCGATCTCCTCGACTCTGTCTTTTGATTTCTCTGGGTGGGAACGAAATATGTTGGAAGGTGTTACTGGTAGAAGCGTTGTCAAACACTGAATACCTGTGACATCATCATTGGTGAGACCGACGTGATCTGGTACACCTAACTGCAACTGTGAGTCTGTTCGTTTTTGGGATTTTTATATATCATTGCCTTATTTTTTTTTAAACATTGTGATTTTTTTCGTGTTTTTCCTTGGATATATATATATTTTCCCCTCGTTCATTATCGTACTTCATACTTCATCATGACTGAACAGACACCTAAAGTACTCAAGCTTAAGACTTTGTCCCCGCCTTCGTTTCAACTGATGCCTTTCTGGCCCGACAACATCGAAGCCTGGTTCTGCTACGCAGAAGCCGACTTCCACGAGCACGGCTTGATCGACACACGTGCACAATTCCCCGCAGTAGTCAAGGCACTACCGTGCGAATTAAACAGGTACGTAGCACCTAGTATGTTTACTAGTGATATTTCCGATCCTTACGAAATATTAAAACGCTCGATTCTTAAACGAGGAGACCTAACCGATCGACAAAGGTTAGATCAACTCTTCAACAATATCGACCTGCAACACGGTTCTGCGACAGACATGTTGCAACGGATGAGAGAGGTAATAGGCCCAAGAACTTTCGACGAAGGTCTATTCAAACAACTCTTCTTGTCAAAACTTCCCCAACAGGTGCAAACAGTTCTGGTCTCGTTCCAGAACAACGCCTTAGACGAGCTAGCTGCATCTGCCGACCGCATTTTAGAAATTACGAAACCTACTACCGAGGTATTTTCAGTCAAAGAAAAACCTCAAACGACTCAGAATGACATAACCGAGTTATGTCATACACTCACGCGTTGTCTTAATCTTCGTACCGACCGTAAGAGATCGCGCACTCCACGTAGAAGCATTTCACGTAAGCGATCTGTCTCTAGGCCACGAGAGACAGATAACCCTGACTGGTGCTGGTATCATAACCAGTATGGAAAGTTTTCCAGAAATTGCAGAAAACCCTGCAATTTTCCCAACACGAAACCGACTGATTCGAAAAGCAATTCGGGAAACTTCCAAGCCGGCACGCGTTAACGCAACCGTAGCCGGCGAACAAAGCCGTCTGTTATTCGCCACAGATGTGACAACGAGAGTTCGCTACCTCGTCGACACTGGCGCAGAAGTTAGCGTTCTCCCAGCAAATCGTAACGACCGACTTCACGAATCGACCCTAAACTTACAGGCGGCAAACGGAAAACCGATCGCTACGTATGGCAAAAGGTACGTTTACCTTAACGTGGGTTTACGCAAACCCATTCACCGGATCTTCGTTGTTGCTGATGTTTCTATGCCAATTATTGGTATGGACCTTCTACAACATCATAATCTGATCATCGATACGAGCAAACGGAGGCTAGTAGACGAAAACACTAATATATCCGTTTGCGTAACTTTGCATAACTATGGTCTAATATGATATTAGTACTGCTCTAATAATTGACCTAATCCTAAATTTGTATATTTGTCATGATACAACTGCGTAATCTATAAGATCTTACGTGGAAGTCACACCATCGACTACGCCAACTCACTGTATCGTATCAATTACCAATACATGATGTAGAACAAGGTTAGGCTAGAGAAAGAACTATACATCTAATATGAATAAGAGATATAAGATAACATTCAGCAGAGACCACGCCTGCATGGCCGAGCCATGCCACTCGATCAACTCCAGTCCATTCAATTCATTGTTCGCGCCTTCTCCATTGTTAGGTATTTCTCCGCGTTAAATATTGAGTATCTATTTTCTGAGTAGTCTCGTGTTCACAGCTTTGTGGATTGTGTGGCTATTGTCCAATGCCACTACAACTTCCTTCTCTGGTTGTAGATTATCCCCAGTCACAATTAAGCATATGATAGACCCACTCTATCAACCACTACTCGATAAGTACCCTGGGATACAACAAACGCAACCGAGATTACCGTGTGTAACCAGCAACGTTACACATCACATCACGACTACAGAACCGCCTGTATTTTCTAAAGCACGACGACTAGCCCCCGAAAAGCTAAGGTTAGCGAAAAACGAGTTCAACCATATGATAGACTTAGGAATCATACGACCATCAAGTAGCCCATATGCATCTTCGTTGCACATGGTCCCTAAAAAGGATAGCAACGATTGGCGTCCAACTGGTGACTATCAGCGATTGAACGCGAAAACCATTCCCGATCGTTACCCGTTGCCTCACATTCATGATTTGACAGCTACCTTGAAAGGTACAACTGTCTTTTCGAAAATCGACTTGGTTAAAGCGTATAACCAAATCCTTATGGCTACTGACGACATACCGAAAACAGCTATCATAACTCCCTTCGGACTCTATGAATTTTCGCGAACGCCTTTCAGTCTAAGAAACGTTGCTCAAACATTCCAAAGATTCATAGACGACGTTTTTCGAGGTCTCAATTTCGTACATGCATATGTTGACGACTGTCTAATCGCAAGTCCGGACAGAGAAACAATTCTCAAGTATCTGGATCTGGTTTTCGAACGACTACAAAAACATGGCATTACTGTAAACGTTCAGAAATGCCAAATTGGAACCGACTCATTAGACTTTCTGGGACACACTATCGATGCTCAAGGTATCCGACCCCTTAGAACCAAAGTGGCGGCCATTCTGGATTACCCAGAACCGACCACCGTCAAGCAATTACGCACGTTTAACGGCCTCGTAAGTTTCCATAGACGATTCATACCGAAATGCGCATTACTCACGAAGCCTCTTACCGATCAACTTCGTGGAAATGCGAAATCCATTAATTTTGACGACACCGTACGAAAAGCATTCTCCACAGTTAAGGAACTTATCGCTAAAGCAACAATGCTTGCACACCAGGACACCCGAGCACCCATTAGTATCGCAGTAGACGCATCCGACTCGGCAATCGGAGGAGTCTTACAACAATGGGTTAACAACTACTGGCAGCCATTGGCATTTTTCTCTAGACGGTTGCTAGACACCGAATCGAGGTACAGCATATTCGGTAGGGAACTCCTAGCTATGTATTGTGCTGTATGCCATTTTCAACACTACATCGAAGGCCGTGAATTTACCCTCTTCAATTACCGTAAACCGCTTACCTTTTCGTTAAGCTCTTACTCTGACAAGTACTCACCTCGTCAGTCTCAACAACTGGACTACATTTCGCAGTTTACTTCAGACATCCAACACATCTCTGGAGCAAACAATGTAGTTGCAGACGCCTTATCTCGCATAACTTCCTTGGACAGTTTCCAAGGAATCGACCTTCTTAAACTCGCCGAGCTTCAAAAAGAAGACAGTGATCTTCAGCACGAGTTATCGTCTACAACCCTTAAACTACGCATCAAGCAGATGAGAACAGGTAAGGAAACCTTACTTTGTGACACATCTACAGGTAGGGATCGCCCAATCGTGCCGAAACATTATCGACGCAATGTCTTCAACACATTGCACAAACTTTCGCATCCAGGTGTTCGTGCAACCATCAAGCTTATAGCAGAACGGTTTTGCTGGCCTGGCATGAATAAAGACGTGAGGGAGTGGGCACGCTCCTGTGTAAGCTGCCAAAAATCTAAGGTTATCAGACACAATAAATGTCCCTTAGGCTCATTTAAAACTCCCGATGCTCGTTTCGACCATGTTCATCTGGATTTGGTGGGACCTTTGCCAGATTCAAATGGATACTCTTATCTCTTAACCTGCGTAGACCGTTTCACTCGATGGCCAGCAGCAGTACCTATCAAGGACATCACTGCTGAAACAGTGGCCCGCGCCTTCGTCGAACGATGGGTAGCAAACTTCGGCTGCCCTTCAACCATCACTACAGACAGCGGACGTCAGTTTGAATCTGATCTTTTCCGTCGTCTGACCACACTTTTAGGAATCACTCGCTTCCGAACGACCGCCTACCATCCACAAGCAAACGGGTTGGTAGAACGTTTTCATCGACAACTAAAAGCTTCACTATCAGCTGCAAACGTTTCACAGTGGACCGACGCTCTTCCACTTGTCTTATTAGGTATTCGCAATGCAGTGAAAGCTGACATTGGATACACTGCGGCTCAACTCGTTTATGGAACGACACTTCGACTTCCAGGAGAATTCGTGGATCCTTCATCCTCTTCAATGAACATGGATCTAACCTCCTACACGAACAGGCTTACAAACGCAATGCGTTCAGTTAAACCTGCTTCCACTCGACCTCAATCAACTGATGTTTTCGTTCAACCTGACTTACGATATACTACACACGTTTTCGTTCGTCGAGACTCGCATCGACGACCATTCGAATCAGCATACGAAGGACCATTCAAAGTTCTTCAACGTGAATCTAAGTACTATATAGTCGATAAGAACGGAACCAACGATAGCAACAGCATCGATTGCTTAAAAGCAGCGTATTTAGAAGGAAATCCTATTCACGTCGACTTTCCTTCGGTACAATCGCACAATGCGACTCCTACACTCATAATTCCTCAACCGACAACCAACACTAGCGATAATACTCCGAATGTATCTGAAAATATACCTACCTTCTGGAAGAAGAGTATGATTTCCAGGACATTTAAAAGACTACTGCACGTAAGGCACTACTCGACATTTTATATTATCTCGATCTTTCTTTTTAACGATATATAATTTTTTCTT